TAATAGTCTAAATAATAATTTAGTTGTTTACCACTCGAGTTGCCAACATCTTACACTTGTTTGTTAATTTCAGTTCACATATCTCTTTAATTTGCTTTCAAGTACAGATAATAATCCGGAATTTATTTATCGATATACAGAACAAATACAGAAATGGATAGCTTATGGATGATGATAATAAACAATTAGGAACAGATACGAACGCGTTGGTATTGTTTTATTTTATTACGTAAAATGTATTCTGATCAGTGGTTGTGTTTGCGTGGTTTCCATTGCAAGACGCAATTGTGTTTCCCCCAACACCCAATGTGTATCCCGGTAATCTATATATATAAAATCGTTCATGTCTGTCTGTCTGTGTGTGTGTGTGTGGACTTTGGCCCATACGCACTTTCATTGGACGGCGGTTGCCCCTGGCAACGGCTAGCCACGCCTTCGCCGCTTTCATTGGACCTGGCAACGGCTAGCCACGCCTTCGCCAAGGGCTGCAGTTTCATTGGACGGCGGTTGCCCCTGCCAACGGCTAGCCACGCCTTCGCCACTTTCATAAGCTCCGTATTTAATTAAATAATAGCCATTACACAGTATTGTTGGAGCGCTAGGGGGGGGGGGAAGGAACGCCACCCGTACCCTGCCTTTTCCAAGCCGACAATTTTAGGCGAGGCCGCAGGCTTTGCACGCTACTTGGCCTCGACACCCACCACGCCACTCTGAGGTAAATTCATCAAAGTTTTTCCTACTCTTCACTACACCCCCACCACAATGTGTGCTATTAATATTACTTTTAAACCCAACGCGCCAACAATCGATTACTTTAATGTTCACTGTACAAATACTCATTAAGCTGGGTGAGCGTACTGCCAGTCTATCATGTACACTGTAGCCTGCTTATTAAGCTCGGTGAGCGTACTGCCACTCTATCATGTACACTCTAGCCTGCTTATGAAGCTGAGTGCGTGTACTGGCAGTCTATAATGTGGACTCTTGCTTGGTTATTATAATCGATTCTTTATATGTTCTTTGTACAAACAGTCATTAAGCTGCTTGAGCGACCCCAGTTCGATTCCAACTCACGCCCACCACCGCTGACGATTATTTGAAACGGACCTGGCCCTCCCCTAGGTCCACTCAGCCTCAAAAGCGTAACTGCTGTCGTGTGGGAACATCGTCACTGGGGAGACAAAGGCGGCGGGGCATCGTGGATCCAAGTCCCGGGCGAAGCCGGGTCATGTGTATGTGTGTTTGTGTTTATGTGTATGTCTGTGTGTCTCTATGTATGTGTGTATGTATGTGTATGTATGTGTTTGTGTGTATGTATGTGGGTTTTTTTTATGTCTTTATGTGTATGTCTGCGTGTCTCTATGTATGTGTGTATGTACGTGTGTGCATGTGTTTGTGTGTATGTATGTGTGTGTCTATGTATGTGTATGTGTTTCTGTGTATGTATGTGTGTGTATGTATGTGTGTTACGTGTCTGTCTGTGTGTCTGCATGTATGTGTGTGTGTATTGTGTATGTGTTTGTGTGCATGTATGTGTGTGTTTGTGTGTATGTGTATGTCTGTGTGTTTGTATGTGTGTGTATGTGTGTGTATGTATGTGTGTGTATGTGTTTGTATGTGTTTGTGTGTTTACGCTCGCATTACACAAATGTGTTGCTGGTCTAAGGCGTTCCTCGCACAGCATTGCCGCTTTATTATTTCAGTCGTTTACTGCCTTACGCACCCTGAAAGTCGTGTGTGTCTGCAGCAAGCGCGTGTATGTGTACCTATGGACGCGCGCGCGTGTGTTGTGTAGGGGGAACGGTAGTGTAGTGCTTAGCGTGCTGTCTGTGTCTGTGTGTGTGTCTGTGTGTGTGTTTGTGTGTGTGCGTGTGTGGTGTGTGGGGAGCGGTAGTGTAGTGCTTAGCGTGCTGTCTGTGTGTTTGTGTGTGTGTGTGTGTCTGTCTGTGTCTGTCTGTGTGTGTCTGCGTGTGTCTGTGTGTGTGTCTGTGCGTGTGTGGTGTGTGAGGAGCGGTGGGTGTAGTGCTTAACGCTACGCTGCGCTACCAACCCGGCGAACCGAGTTCGATTCCCGCTCACGGCCACCACCGGTGACGATTATTTGAACCTCCCCTAGCTCGACTCAGCCTCAAACGAGTAACTGGTGTGGCGTATTAACATCGGCACTTGGGAGACAAAGGCGGCCGGGCGTGGTGGATCCAAGTCCCGGGCGAAGCCGGGTAGTACAGCTAGTGTTGGTTTGAAATTAGTTAAACAACAACATTTGTTGGACATCCATCCACCAACATTTTCGATCTCACATGGTACTTCATTGATAATTATCAATCATTGATAATGATCAATTATCAATTAAGTGATTGTAATTAGCTTCAGTGCCTTTAGGATCTGACAAGTGAGACAGTGGAGATCTCTCGATCTTGCCGACGTTGAACATTGGCTGAACCTGATGCTTAAGGTGTGTGCACTCGGATGTCTTGTGTGTCTCTCTCGCGGGGCTTACCATCTTCTATAGGAAGGTGCAGACCCCTTGTGATCAACCACTCCTGGCTTGATCATCTTACCCCGCTGTGTACCTATCGTTTATCACTCTTTCTTCTTTCACCTTCTCTCAATCTCCCCCCTCTCTCTCTCTCTCTCTTCCATTCCCTCTGCTCCTCATCCCTGCCTTAGATCACAGCTGTTTTTCCCTTTACATTCACTCGATTATTATATCGATGCGGCGAGCCTTTGTAACACGGATCTGTCTTTACACATTCGTGTTGCTGAAAATTAGAACGTCTAAAATAAAATGTGAAGTAACCGTTTGTAGTACTGTATAATACACCACGCACATGGCAAGCTTCCATTGCAATACATGTCTATATAAACAGTGCCATAGCATAGATCTTATATATTATTGCCCTTGGGACAAATGTCCATTCCAGCTTTCAGTGTTAGCATGAATTGTTAATCTATATGTAAATTACGTTCCCTGTTTATGTAAATTCAGTGAGACACATTACATTGAACTGTAGACTGGTAGACATATAACTTAGACTGGCTGATAGTTTATAACATTTCATATGATGACTGTCGCCATACATCAAAAGGAAAATGTCAAGATTTACATAGTTGGTAGACTTTGCATGCATATTACTAAACACAAGCATTATTGAAAAAAGCATACGTTTAGAACTGCAATTAGTGCATAATTGTAAAATATTTGTTGTGATGTTACAATTAACTCACTTTAATGACATTACAAGTGTAAGACGTCATATTGACTGTAAAGAAAGAAAAGTGCGCGGGCTTGGGCAGCACCCGTTGCTGGAGGGGTCGAAGGCCGGTGGTCAAGACTAGCAATCAAGCGGCAGGCAAAAGAGTGAAATGGGTCAAAGATGACGTTCACTGTGAAGGCGGAGCGATGGAATCGGGTCATCTGCAAGTGGTGGATGGATGGTTGCATTACGATTATAGCCGGCAACGGCTTGGAGAAGCCTTCTTCTGGCAGTGGATAGATAATGGCTGATGATGGATTACTTGAGGTGCCAATAGATGGAACTGCGAATGTTGTATAAAATCCCTCCGCCTGAGAAAATGTCACTTGTACTGATGGAACGGCGCTTTCTCGATCTGTTTCTGCATCAGTAGTTCGTGATAGCTCAACTGAGTTCATGGTTATCTTGTCAGCAGCACAATATTGCAAATACTAGCAAAAATATCGTGTCTGTTCAACTGTCTTGTACTTTATTCCTGAAAGTCAGATTTTCTTTACGATATCATTCATGAAACAGCATAGATATATGGCAAAAATTAGTGCATGCAAGTTGCCGGTCCTCAGGTGATAAATGTGGCCTCACCTGGTATGCAGGAGATTGTGGGTTCGATCCCGACCCTGGCACATGTATATTTGAAGTTTGCATGTTGTCCCAATGGTCACGTGGATTTTTCTCCGGGTCCTCCGGTTTTTCCCTCCATACTTAGAAACACGCGTTTAGAGTAGTTGGCTGCTATAAATGTCCACTTGATGAGCCACTTCGTTGAGCTATCATTTGTGGCCAGGCCACTTCTGAAAAAGAGCAATACAGCTCAAGTGGGCCTTTCCTGGTAAAATAAAAATAGTTTAAATAGTTTTTTTACGTGAGTCAGTACTTGACAAAAAGAGGGAGCCTCGCAGTAAGGGGCACATTTCTTACATCCCCCGCTCATGGTTAGTCTATTGGCAGGTTGCGTGTGGTGGTGTAAAGTGTGGGGTACTGTCACCTCTATCAAGCCAGCATGAAAGAGTAGGCAAAAAAAACCTTTAGAGGGGCTCGGTGGAGCTTCTTCTCGTGAAGGCTCTTGTGACAGCAGTGGCTTCAGCAGGAAATTTCAGGGCTGCACCTTTACCTTATACCAGTGCAATGTTAAAAATAGAAAGGATGAAGATTTATGAACCTGGAAATTGACGAGAAATGGAACAAAAGCTGAAATATGTGCAAAACAGCACGCAGAGGTGCATGCATGGAATTACACTCGCATCTACCAGTATGAGCATCAAGTAGCACGTCTGCCAGTATTTTACGAGCATGTCGGCATGAAGCTTTACACCACATAATACATTTCAGATAACATAATATATTACGGGTGTGTTAATGCTTTCCAACTAAGAATGAAAGCGTTAATTCATTAGCTTTGTCTGTCCCTCCGTCTGTAATTGGGGGGGTCACAATAAAGATGATCCAAAATAGATGACATTTGTATTTAAAGCTGTGTTGCTATGAGAGACACACCCTATGGAAAACCTTGCCAAATTTATCATAGCTAAGCAAATTATTTGGTGATACTGCATTGACAGCGGTGCACAAATGTTTTTTGACAAATTGATCAAAGGGCTGCCTACATGCAGCATGCAAAAATCTGGCTGTGGGGGCTCGGAAGGTCACGTTATCATCATTTTAACGAGACACTTTCGAGGACTAACGCATGCTGCAAACCATTAGATAAAACGTACTACTTTTCTGTTTGTTGTTTATTGTCAGCCGGTCAGCTGGCCGGGAGCTCGTCGGTGGAGATGTACCGGCAGGCACTGCTGGCCGGGTGTCGCTGCGTGGAGCTCGATTGCTGGAAGGGACGCACGGCTGACGAGGAGCCGGTCATCACGCATGGCTTCACCATGACCACGGAGATCCTGTTCAAGGTCAGCACCTGGCCCCTGTCACTGGTGGTGCTGCAACTCGCCCACTCGAGGGCCCCCAGCTAAAACTAATTATTGGGCAAATTCCTCCTCCTCCTCCTCCTGCCTCCCCCCGTTTCCTTTTCGATGCATAAACTCAAAGTGAGATGACAGAAGAAGAGATGTAGACAAGAGATTACTATAAATTTCGATTTAAAGCTTTCGTGACTGCAGGGATTCATCTTCTTGGTTCTTTCGGTAAAGTCACGTCGAAGGGAAATAATCTATATATATAAAATCGTTCATGTCTGTCTGTGTGTGTGTGTGTGTGGACTTTGGCCCATACGCACTTTCATTGGACGGCGGTTGCCCCTGGCAACGGCTAGCCACGCCTTCGCCGCTTTCATTGGACCTGGCAACGGCTAGCCACGCCTTCGCCAAGGGCTGCAGTTTCATTGGACGGCGGTTGCCCCTGCCAACGGCTAGCCACGCCTTCGCCACTTTCATAAGCTCCGTATTTAATTAAATAATAGCCATTACACAGTATTGTTGGAGCGCTAGGGGGGGGGGAAGGAACGCCACCCGTACCCTGCCTTTTCCAAGCCGACAATTTTAGGCGAGGCCACAGGCTTTGCACGCTACTTGGCCTCGACACCCACCACGCCACTCTGAGGTAAATTCATCAAAGTTTTTCCTACTCTTCACTACACCCCCACCACAATGTGTGCTATTAATATTACTTTTAAACCCAACGCGCCAACAATCGATTACTTTAATGTTCACTGTACAAATACTCATTAAGCTGGGTGAGCGTACTGCCAGTCTATCATGTACACTGTAGCCTGCTTATTAAGCTCGGTGAGCGTACTGCCACTCTATCATGTACACTCTAGCCTGCTTATGAAGCTGAGTGCGTGTACTGGCAGTCTATAATGTGGACTCTTGCCTGGTTATTATAATCGATTCTTTATATGTTCTTTGTACAAACAGTCATTAAGCTGCTTGAGCGACCCCAGTTCGATTCCAACTCACGCCCACCACCGCTGACGATTATTTGAAACGGACCTGGCCCTCCCCTAGGTCCACTCAGCCTCAAAAGCGTAACTGCTGTCGTGTGGGAACATCGTCACTGGGGAGACAAAGGCGGCGGGGCATCGTGGATCCAAGTCCCGGGCGAAGCCGGGTCATGTGTATGTGTGTTTGTGTTTATGTGTATGTCTGTGTGTCTCTATGTATGTGTGTATGTATGTGTATGTATGTGTTTGTGTGTATGTGTGTGTGTATGTATGTGGGTTTTTTTTATGTCTTTATGTGTATGTCTGCGTGTCTCTATGTATGTGTGTATGTACGTGTGTGCATGTGTTTGTGTGTATGTATGTGTGTGTCTATGTATGTGTGTGTATGTGTTTCTGTGTATGTATGTGTGTGTATGTATGTGTGTTACGTGTCTGTCTGTGTGTCTGCATGTATGTGTGTGTGTATTGTGTATGTGTTTGTGTGCATGTATGTGTGTGTTTGTGTGTATGTGTATGTCTGTGTGTTTGTATGTGTGTGTATGTGTTTGTGTGTATGTGTGTGTATGTATGTGTGTGTATGTGTTTGTATGTGTTTGTGTGTTTACGCTCGCATTACACAAATGTGTTGCTGGTCTAAGGCGTTCCTCGCACAGCATTGCCGCTTTATTATTTCAGTCGTTTACTGCCTTACGCACCCTGAAAGTCGTGTGTGTCTGCAGCAAGCGCGTGTATGTGTACCTATGGACGCGCGCGCGTGTGTTGTGTAGGGGGAACGGTAGTGTAGTGCTTAGCGTGCTGTCTGTGTCTGTGTGTGTGTCTGTGTGTGTGTCTGTGTGTGTGCGTGTGTGGTGTGTGGGGAGCGGTAGTGTAGTGCTTAGCGTGCTGTCTGTGTGTTTGTGTGTGTGTCTGTCTGTGTGTGTCTGCGTGTGTCTGTGTGTGTGTCTGTGCGTGTGTGGTGTGTGAGGAGCGGTGGGTGTAGTGCTTAACGCTACGCTGCGCTACCAACCCGGCGAACCGAGTTCGATTCCCGCTCACGGCCACCACCGGTGACGATTATTTGAACCTCCCCTAGCTCGACTCAGCCTCAAACGAGTAACTGGTGTGGCGTATTAACATCGGCACTTGGGAGACAAAGGCGGCCGGGCGTGGTGGATCCAAGTCCCGGGCGAAGCCGGGTAGTACAGCTAGTAAAATAATAAAAATAAAGCATAATAAAATAATTTTCACGACGTTTTGGCCACAACGCAAGCAGCCGTCCTCAGGTGAAGACCAGGTCTGTCGGGGAGACAGCGACCTGGTCTTCACCTGAGGATGGCTGCTTGCGTTGTGGCCGAAACGTCCTGAGAATTATTTTAAGAGATTGCGATGTAATAAGTTAAGAGACGAGAGATGCAGATGAGAGGGAGATGAGAGATGTAGGCAAGGGACACAAGATGGCATTACAGGAGAGAGGAAAGAGATGCAGAGAAGATTGGGATGAGAGAGATCATTCGCTTTTTGATGTGCGTTCGCTTTTTTTTAATGTTGATTCACATTTGAATTCGTGCTGGGACTTGGTTTGCTCCAAATATGTTCTAATTGTGAATCCAGGGCCCCATTGTGCTGCTTTGATCCCTTCACTTCTGCTCAGTTTGTTTCTGCCTAGCGACTACCTCTGGCCTCCATGACACGTAATTATGTTTTGCCATCATGGAATGCTTTTTGTAACGTTGGTGTAAAGTGGTTAAGGTTAAAGATGTTTTAATAACATTTTGTGGTGGATGACTACAAACTCGAAGTAGTGATTACTAAAAACATTGTGTGTGGATTTACCGTGACCACAGAGATGGTCTTCAAGGTCAGCACCTCGCCCCCTGCGACAAATTCTCATCCACGGCCAGAATTGGGTCTGGCGAGATGGATTGCCAGTGCCGGTATAAATTGCAGCTGTGTGTCCAACGCTGAACGATTATAAGTTTCCAAACGGCTTATCTTATAATTTAACACATGTGCATGATGTCTACCTTTTCTTTGTCCACTCTTAAAATTCTCCCACAGACATTCACTGCAGTAGCAATAGTTATGCACGTACAAGTGCACATATTCGCCAATGACGTACCTTTAAAGTAATGGATATAAAACAAGCAAAATTGAACGTTGAACATAAAATTAAACAATACGTTTAGAATGATTGAGTGACAATATTTTTTTATAACGGCAGTTTGTAAGAAGTGCATTTTGACAAAACGAAGGGAAAAATTGTTACTTTCGTGCTGAAGGTTTCATTTTCAGTAAAGTTAATACAATTATGCTACATGATTTATCGTATCAAAATCAATTTGAGGTAAACATTTCACTCATTATAAAAAAATATTGGAAAATAATGTCGAGCCTGAAATAATAAAGAAGAAAATAATGCTTGACCAAACTAAATACAGATGCATCTATACGTTTAGCACAGCATTAATTAAAAATCCTTAATGTGTATAAGTTTAAATATATATGCAATTAAGGATTAGCATTACATAGCATGAACTGTGATACCAGTGTTTCAGTCCAAACATTGTGGCACTGTCATAAAAGGACTCCATCAAAGAGGATTTGATTCAAGCAAGCATTACCGGGTTTGGGGTTGGGGGAGTTGATTTGAGAACGCGAGGAAGGATGGTTGGTTGGGGGAGGGGCGAGAGGGTGGTGGGGGTGGTGTAAAGATGTTGGTGGAGGGTTGGTTGGTGCTGTTCACCATTCATCCCCCTTGTGTTGTAAACGGATTTCAATCAAGTGTTCACCAACAGCACTTGCCCAATCCACCTGACAATCACGTTCGAGGGCCCGCGGTCACACCTTGGCTTGCACACTGCGGTGCTTGCGAACACCATTAGGACATGGCGTCAATGACAGGTCAGGCGGACTCTGGGGCTTCTCTGGCCACAGATGAGCTGCTGCTGCTGCTGTCGGCGTTGTTCACACGGCCCGACCGCAGCAGAAAATGGCAGTCTCGCGGTGATGGACAGAGGTGGCCTTTGATGACAAATGGCGAGCGTATCTCTGTCTGTGTGCCCAGGGATGCCTCGAGCCCTTTACATTCGTTCAGGTTGGCCACCGTTGCGATCCTAAATTGCCTTAAGAAACCTTTTCTCTTTTTTCTTTCTTCTTCTCTTTTCTTTTCCAAAAACGGCTTTTGGCTTGAGTATCATGCTTATTCATTAAAAAGCCGTGCCACTTTTCAGAGGTGTCTGCCGATCATCTCCGACAGCTTGCCGTCTCGTGAATGGAAAGGGGAGTGTGAATAAATGTTTTTAGATGCGATCTGAAAATATATTCTTGTGTCAGCATATGCTTGCATTTTTGCCTTAACCCAAACTCCCCTCTTGACCTCCAATAGCTGTAATGTTTGACCTCCGTGTACATTTTATCACCTTGCATTCCACCCACTCTGTCTGGTCATTAAACTAAAACGTAACTATTTTTATGTTTCCAGATGAGGCCCACTGAGCTGTGTAGCTGTTTTTCAGAAGCAACCTGGCCACAGATGAAGTGACTTGTCATGTGGATATTTATAGCAGCCAAATATTCTGAACGCATGTTTCTAAATGTGGAGGGGAAAACTGTAGAACCTGGAAAAAATTCCACACAACCACGGGGAGAACATGCAAACTCCGAATGTACAGGAGTCAGGGTTGAACCCACGCCCTCCTGTATACCAGGCGAGGTAGTTAAAATCTCGCCACCGTGGCACCCCATTGTTAAACCATCACGTCAATCAGCCTCAGCATGGCTCTTAAATCTAAGAGGACACTAATTAAATTCGCAATTCTGGCCTCAAATAAAGATTACAACGTGAACAAGGTATTTCCTTATTGGTGAGGATTACGCTTTAATGCAATGTAATTTAATGTTGGGTGAGAGTAAAAAAAAAATAAGTCATTAAGCTGCTTTAACCTCGCAATGTCGAGAGATGCATTAGTACGTTGAAATCTGACCTTGAGTCCATTTCCTTAAGCTGGATCATTCCCCCCCCCCCCCCCCTCAGAGCTGAAGGCCATGAGCAGTGTTAGAGTTCCGGAGCAATTTAAATCATTTTGATTGCCATCAGGTTGCGTGCTCTGTTTGCGAATACTTTGAAGCGTCTGAAGGGAATTGCAAGGATCTTGCCAGCGGAGGAAGGGAGTTGGGAAAGAAATACGGTTACCAGTGGCCGGTTCTAGCGATTGATGTGCGGTCACCATGACAAAGCTCTTGAAATTAGCATTCAGCTGCACGTAACTGTGTGCGCGATGAATGGTTTTCAGCAGCAGCAGCAAACTGTCAAGATGTGTGGATCGCCCCTCGTAAACATATCTCGAAGGCCAATGTGCCGCACATTTAACAAGGTGGGGAAAAATACATAATTCGGGAGAATATTAACTTCGCAAGATAAGGTTGGAAAGGGTTTCTTCATGTTATTGTTTGTCTTATTTACAAACAACTGACTTAATTCTAGATTTGAAGCTTTCGTGACTGAAAGGATTCATACTCTTAGGTTTTTTCGGTAAAGTCACGTAGGTAAAAAATAAAATTAAAATTAATAAAAGTAAAATAAAAAATCACGACGTTTCGGAGGCAACACAAGCCTCCGTCTTCAGGTGGAACCGTCACAGCACGATTGTTGTATCAAGTAAAGAGAACTGACTTGAGTCGCATGGCACTGTTTTTGCTGCATAGGATGTGATCGAAGCCATAAAGGACTGCGCGTTCAAAACGTCACCCTTTCCTGTCATCCTCTCCTTTGAGAACCACGTGGACTCGTACGTATCGCCACTGCGCACCTCAGTTCACATTGGCCTATGTGTTCACATTACGGGACGGTTGCAGCTCTTTTCAGACGAAAGTGGTTAATTTTCTCAAAGCCATGCCCCCTCGGTATTTTCACGTATTCAAATATTAACACTCTATAAATAATGTGGAATATTAATGATAATTCTCTTAGTGCTGTGTCCATGTTTCCTGAACTTATGTCCTCGTAAAAAGCAGAGGTAGTTGCTGATGCAGCACATGTACCGTGCTTATCTGTGTTTATTATGAGTATTATTATACGTGAGCATATAGATGCACATACGCGGAGGTGGTCAGAATTTTGTTTTATTTGCACCGAACCAAATGCTGAGATTGCCTATCAATGGCTTAACATAACAGTGGAGTGGAAACTGAACATAAAAACACCGTATATGACCACATTTCTCATGTAAGCAACACATGCTTACACTACACTCGTGAAGGGAGGGGCAAAGGACAACTTCTGATACAGGCACACGACTTTGGATATAAGCACATCTGGCCTTGCTCTCAAGAGGGTGCGCTCATAGCCAGGTTCTACTGCATGGGAAAATCATCAGCAAATAAGTTAACAAATTCGTGAATGGCTTTTACATTTCTTTTAAAAATATGGTGGTGAATGTCAATTTCTCCACCCCAAAGGATCACGGCCTATATGTATATGCTACGACAAGATAGGGGCAGAGTTACGTGAAAGTCATGAACACTCTTGACACACTCTGTTTCTTTACTCATGGACATGCTGTGTTTAGAGTGAGTGAAGTTAGCTGAAAGATTTGACATGATAATTCCTTTTATAATTAGTCCGCCCCCCCCCCCCCCAAACCCAAAGATTATCATGAAGCTACTTACAAAAAAGGAATGGTCTTCTTTACCATAACAGTTTATATGCAAAATGTTATTCTATGTCAAACTTCCCAAACCCCACCATTACAAACGTAAAAAACACTCTTGCTAAAAATGGAAGTGCCGTGACAGTTACACGCAGCATGTGGCTTGTAATTCAGCCCTCGACGATGTGCGGCGGTCCATTCACTTCGTGCGGGGGCGTTCGGGAGATGCGTCCTCAATTAGCAGCCGTGCTGCTGCACGCGCTAAATTTCGCTGGGAAGTAAACGATGGACTTGCCCCGCACAGCAGTAAATGTCCGACCTGTTCTCTTCACAAGCGGTCGAGAGGTGATGGATGCGGAATGCAACCGAATTATGCACCACGTAGAAATGCGCCGCTGAGTATTGATCATGTCACTTGTAAGTTTATCAGCCCTGCTCACGTACTTTTTGTGTGTGTGTGTGCGTGTTTGCATATGCATGTGTTTACCCATCCTAAAGCCCCAAACAGCAAGCGAAGATGGCAGAGTACTGTCGGACAATATTTGGAGATGCTCTGCTGATGGACCCTCTGGAAAAGTACCTGGTAACCTCAGCCTGGCGAGAGAGAACCATTGCAACAACAAGCACCATGGCATCATTGCCCAGGACCATAATGCACTGGCAGCCAAGAACCCCAATCAATGAAGTGTCGACCGTGTATTTTCTGATCCGGACAAAAAAACTAATCTTGTGCAGCCACATCTATGGATAGAGGATCAATCCTGCCTCAACTGGGAATGCTTTATTTACATTCACCTCTGGATTTGTGCTCCGATTTAATTTTGGCCCAACAATCGAATTTTCTTCCAAATGGTGCGCTGACGTTTGCCTCGCAGAGGGGCCACGGATTGAGAGAATGAATTGACCCCTTCCGCATGTTGCTTTTTATATTCTCGCCGTCCTTATGGCACACCAAGGCCATTATCACGAGTAGGGGGGTGGGGGGGGGGTGTCACGTGGTGTTAATAATACGTAGGTAATTTTTTTACTTTAAAGCTAATAGCATTTACCCTCTTGTCCATTGTGTGCAGCTGGAGTCTGGGATTCCCCTGCCCAGCCCTCAGGACCTCATTGGCAAGATCCTCATCAAGAACAAGAAGAAGAAGCACCCACCCAAGGGGGCCCAGGAGGGCGGCTCGGCCAAGCGTCGGGCAGGAGAGGCCATCTCAAACACGCAAAGCGACTCCTCCAGCGTGTGTGACCCCTGCTCTCCAAGCACAGGTGCTTGCAAGGACAAAGATGCCCCCCCCCCCACCGTATAGCCTTAACAGACTCTTAGGGACGAGTGCTGTTAGCGAGCACAATACGAAGGCTGACACACGGCACATGAGGGGGCGGGTGGCCAGTGGAAATGGTTACACACCTCCGATGAACACGGTTGTCTACGTACGGTGTGAAAGAAGTTCAACTTACATACATACCACACCAGGTAGTCATTTCAGACTGAGTCGAACTAAGACAGGCCACAGGAATGGTTTACATAATTGTCACTGGTGTTGGCTGTGAGCAGAAATTAAACTCAGGTCACAGGGTTCATGGTACAGCTTGCTAACCGCTGCGCCACCGTTCGTTCCCCAGGTGCTCACACTCACTCATTGTCAAACGATTGCAGTTGAGCAGCAGCCAAGATTTGTGGAGGGAATTTTTGGCTGACATTAATTTATAAGGATCTCACACTTAAATTTAATCCAGCAGCCAATTGACCTTGGCTGATGATGATAGTTGAATGATGAGCACAATGGTTAGCAGCAGACTGGTCCATTCTCCCAGCATTGTAGCTGAAAATTTGGCAAATGTCTTACCCCCCCCCCCCCCGGCTTCTGCCCATCCAGAAGTATAAATGGGGACACCACAGTTAGTCGATTGGCAGTTTGCGTGGGGTCGGAGAAAGTGTGGGTACTTCCACCGATTTCAGTACATTCAGTCAGTGTGGAAGAGTAGGCCAAATACCCTCTACAGGGGATTTCTAGAGCTCCCTCTAGTGGAGGCCCTTCCGCCAACAGCGGCCTGAGCGAGCAATCTGCGGACCTGATTATGCACGTGTGTCATTTGTGAAACAAACACATTCTCTGCATCCATTTGGTCGCTTAGTTAATCTTTAACAATTAGCACCTTCCCCATTAGAGCCACGGGACATGGATGCGTAGAGAGTTTAGGGGTGGGCACTGAGTGCATCAACCATGCCGCCCACCCCACTCCCCCCACCCACTACCCATGGGCATCGATGTTTCCTTTGCATCTCCGGGCAAACCGCAGAGTTTTAGCCACAGCTAAGTACATATATTTTTAATTCGCACATAGAGCCTCCAGACAAGCAAACACAAATTTACGTAATGCACCTTTCTTCACTCTAAGTGCGTCGTTTTCCCCTTCTATCGTGGAGTTTTCATTATTATTTGCATGTGTGTCATGCGTGAAATAAACACATTTAATTTCGTTTAAAAAAAATAACCAATGGGCACGAGCTTCAAGCATGCTAAATCAGTCATAGCATTTTCTATGACGGGGATATGTATATATTATCGCAAGGTCGATATGAATGGAATGCATCCTGTAGGTGAAGCAATTCAGTTAGTTAATGTGCAGGTGCTAGGTGGATTATTTCATAGCAGAATCATCAGAGGTGACTGTGGTCGCTGGGGGGGGGGAGGCCTTTACTCAGCAGTGGATCGACTATTGGCTGATGATGATGATTATGATATGACAAGCTAATTTTAATGGTAAATGAGATGAAGGCAAATGCAAGCTTCCCACCGCAGTGCATTTTCTGAATGCTGCTTTTTTTCTGTGTTTTATGAAGACAAACTTGCCAAATCACGTATTATGAAGCCGCACTTATAATGGTGATACATTCCACACGTGCAGCTGTGCAAAATGAGAATTTAGTCCGGCGAAATGGCTTCATAAGATTTATACGCCTTGGGCAATGTTTCAAAGCGAGATACAGATTAAACATGGGTGCTGGAATAAGGAAAGATACCTTTGCTCTGTGGGTTTGCTTTTGGGCAAAGAAAGAACATTTTCCTCCAGGAACATGATGCACCGCCACATGCACCCTTGCGCACATTTCTGCGAGAGTAATTACCCGCCTTATGTTCGATGTTAGAGATTTCATCATTGCAAAAAAGAAGCACTTGACTGCAGCACTGACGGTTTAGTACACTTTATAATATACATGCTTCACCCTGTAGTTTATTTCAATCGTTTGATAATTATCGTCATTATTTTCACTCCTGACCTACGTTATACAATATGGCAGTTGTGCCACCTCATAAAAAATGCAGTGCAAATCGCCTGAATTATTTCTATCATATTTTCTTCGCAAAACGTGCATTATTAGGGTTGAAGGACTGATGTTTTATTGAGCACTCGTCGTGGATGAAAAATGGATTATGCCTTTCACACTCGATTAACAGGCCACGAGTTACTGCAAGCAGGGCCAAGTGGTAACTCTAAGGTTTATTAAAATCACGTTTATAAAACCCCCACATCGCAAAAAAGTGTTGACAAATCAACTGTGCTCCACGCCTTTTTTTCCCTGTAAGGCATTCGCACGAATTTAGTCAAACTAAATTAAAGATGCAAACAGAGTTTTATTCAAATTTTTTTGTGGGAACAAAAAACTAAGTACAGTAATGGAAATAACAAAAATAGCGAAGATGGAAGGGTAATCTGCACGTTTTAATCCTCACAAGCTTTAATTTTAAAGATAGGTGTGTCTTGCTGGCCATAGCACAGTTGGTTACGTACGGTGTGAAAGAAGTTCAACATACAAAACCTTAATCTTGAGACCATATGGAATGTTTTACCCATGATATGGTGATACAAAGCTCAACACCGAAGTTGACATTTTATACTCCTATATTCTAAAGTACTGTATTCACATTTAATATAACATTCTGAACAATATAATGGATGCTGTCATGTTGTAATGGGTAGCACATTGTATTTGCAATAGGTCCGGAGCCTCTGTCCACCCAGCAGTATAAGTGGCCACACCAGTCAGTCAAGTGGTAGGTGGCACGTGGTGGGGTAAAGTGTGGGAGCTCCTACCTCTTTCCATGACATCTGGCCAGCATGGAATAGTATGACAAATACCCTCTCGGCAAGCATCTGCAGGCATTGACGCGATCATGCAAGCGTAGAGCTGTATCTCTACTCAGTAATGCATGTAAAAAGTAAAAAAAATACTTCGGAATATGGTAACAGGTCCATTATTTTCTCTCCTGCAGGGCATTTCACAATATAAACCTTAACATTTCAGCACTCGGCTTCGAGAGAATCTGCGGCGTGAATGCATATGCAAAGTGACACTCCTTCCAGGTCACTGTGTGTATCATGCCTGCAGCGGCATACAGATGAAAGTATTCTATGCACAATGAGCAATTTCAGACCCCAGACGTCCTGTAGTGAAAAGAACAAAACACAAACGTGCTTAAATTTCGATTTAAAGCTTTCGTGACTGCAGGGATTCATCTTCTTGGTTCTTTCGGTAAAGTCACAAATGTGCTTACTTTTGTATGTACACGTCTATACGTCATAGTCTTTCCACATACAATTGTAAGTGGTAAAATATTAAATGCTTTCTATAAACATAGGAGACTAACACGGTAAAATTCAGATTCAAGGATGAAGCCATCCATATATACAGACACAATTTCAACCCAGAGTATGGGTACAATCATTGGAAGGATGTGATCAACCAGTTTAAGTAATAACTGGCTGTGATGTTCCCATCTAGCCAACCTCCGGTGTTAGTTGTCATTTTCGGCTCTCCGATTTTACATTAATAGGTACAATTTCTCACATCAACATAGCCACCTCCGTGCTCCGACCTCAACGTGGCGGAGGCTCTGCGATCTAACATTAGCAAGCTAATTTCTCCCATTAACACAGCCACCTCAGCATGCTCACCATGGAGGCCGTTCTCCAATCTTGCATTAACATAATCATTTTTACCTGACAGCCCTTTAATTGGTGGAAACCCACCACCAGCACCGTCGTTGACCATCACTAGCTGCCCTGCCCATGCTGCTGACACTTGAGCTACGCCCGTTTTAAACCTTTATAAACAGTTTGCCTTTAGAGGCGAACCCCCTTTTCCTAATGACTACCGCTTGTGTTGCGATTGAAACGTCCCGTGGGTGTTTTGTCTGTTTTTTCTATCTACGTGACTTTACCGAAAAAACCAAAGAATATCAAGGATTACCAACTTAAGAAAGCTGAGAGAATGGTAGAATTGTACTTCTTATCCATTTGAACCTCATGGCGGGACCCCAGGGTCCCATAAGCCCCTGGCTCTCGCATAAACTGCGTTGCGACGTCATTTCATGTCCGTTGAAGGCGAACGATGCGGCAATCTATTCCTATCGACGAGCTCTACGCGATGCGCTAAAAGTTTCAAAGTTTTCTATACGACTACGGCAATTTTGGCAACGACATGACAACAGATGGGTTGCGGCGTTCATGTGCGCAGTGGGACGGAGTCGCCAAAAATAAATTAATTATTTACGATTTTGTCTTCTGTATATTTGGGGCCCCGGAGTCCCGCCATGAGGTTAATTAAACCATTGAGGTCAAATGCTCACGTGACTGTGCTCAATCACTGAACTTCATTTTCAGTCACAAGTTTTATGGCAGGTGAAACTATTTCCCCAATTTACAAAGTGGAGACAGATGACAAATATAGGTTAGAATCTATAATAATAATAAGAACAATGCCCATGCCACGTTAGTCACGAGTGTTATTTAACTACACTTTGATCTTGCTAGCCAGTGAAGACGAGTGAAGGGGAGGGGTGCCCAGGAGCTGGTCCAGATTTGCCACTGATGTTAGCTGTGCTCGGAATCTACCTTAGATCACCGGTTTCAGAGCCTCGTGACAATACCACATGTCCCCATCTACAGTACTGACATTACAGTTATCAACGTTTCAATAAGGTAGCAGTGGGTGGCAATTCCAGTTTCCCCTGCTTTGGATGTAGGTTATTACAACATGTAATTATTCAAACCCACACCACTCGTGATTTAAATAAGTGTGCTTATTTGGAGTCTTACTTGTTGTAGAGAATAATTTTTGTCCAATACCATCTCTTTTAGATCTGTCAATCTAAATTGAATTGTTTAATTGACAATGAAATCAGAATATTTGACTTTACCAACTTATCGCTCCAGCTCTAATCATGAGTATAATAATAAACTCTTTGTGACAATGTACACACCCCTAAAGGGTATACTTCTAAAAGGAGCTTGCTTCGCTTTATTTGCGACTTGGCTTAATTTGACGCAGTCACTGCGGCTTTGCTCAAGGCCATACAGTGAGATTATAAGTGGCGAGTTAGATGTTGTTGGATGGTCTCGTGTGTTGTTTGGCTGAGCCAGCTATGTTTCTTGACCCTGCTGTCTCTGCCGTTTAGGCTCCGATCTGGCGCAGACGCCCCAGAGCAGTGACAGTCTGTGTGCAGGCCTGGAGGCCGATGAGACCACACAGCCGACCCTGCTCAAGAAGCCATCTGGTAGGGCCACTGCCTCACGCTCTGCACCTCTGCCATGATCAACCCCTCTGCTGGATGAAGGCCTCCGCAAGGAAGTCGCCACCGCTTGTGATCAATCCGGAGATGCAATCATGTATCCAGCACCTTCATAAAACGTTGGATGCTAAACAAATTGGGATTAATTAAAACAAATGTTATGGAGTTCATAAGGGACGGTGTATTTTCAGTTAATTGCCAAATGTAACATTTGGATTTAAAGCTTTCGTGACGGCAGGGATTCATCTTCTTGGTTCTTTCGGTAAAGTCACGTAGAATGGAAATAATAAAATAATAAAAATAAAACATAATAAAATAATTCTCACCATTATGTTTTATTTTTATTATTTTATTATTTCCATTCTACGTGACTTTACCGAAAGAACCAAGAAAATGTAAAATTGTGCAATGGTCAGGGCTTGAATTCAGCTATATCTGGCTGGGGCTGAGCTCCATGGATAACATTCCATGAGGAGTTGTGTGTTGGGGGGGCGGGCCTGGAATATATTCCATGAGATATTAAACCCCCATTATAGCCACAAGTTTTACTTTTTTGCAACAACAAAAATAAATATAACGTGTCACTTACGGTTGAGGAACGGATTAAAAAATGGCAGTGCCAAAAAGGTTTCTCAGTGTCACATCCCCTGATATAAATTATGGTCCCAAATCTGTTGAGCTTTTCTTCAAAGCATACAAAAAAAGCCTTGGTTCCATGAGAAATATAGAGTGTTGTATAATGAGCACTTTTGATGAATTACTGGAAAATGCATGTGTCCTTTTTTAGTCTTATAATATTTCGCGTTTTTATGTCTGGAGGTGTAATGTTTTCTTATTGTCCTGCTCGTTGTGACAGCTTAACAAATTACTAATATAATGAGTCAAGAATGTGTGTGTCCCACGCGTGACGGCACTCCACATGAGCCCCCCCTCATTAATAATCATGAGCAGGTGACTTCCCTCCACATGCCGCACCCCTCCCCAATAACTATTAGCGGGTGACGTCACTCCACATTGGACAACCCCTCCCCCTCATTAATAAACATGAGCTGAACATCTTCTTGGTTCTTTCGGTAAAGTCACGTAGATTGGAAATAATAAAATAATAAAAATAAAACATTATAAAATTATTCTCACGACGTTTCGGCCACAACGCAAGTAGCCGTCCTCAGGTGTAGAACAGGTCTGTCGAGAAGACAGTCTTCAGACTCTGTCTTCTCGACAGACCTGTTCTACACCTGGGACGGCTGCTTGTGTTGTGGCCGAAACGTCGTGAGAATAATTTTATAATGTTTTATTTTAATTATTTTATTATTTCCATTCTACGTGACTTTACCGAAAGAACCAAGAAGATGAATCCCTGCAGTCACGAAAGCTTTAAATGAGCTGAACAATTTGGCTATTTAATATTTCAGATTTACTGCAATATACACCCGTCCTTGGACGGGCAAACAAGTTAGTTAAAATATATTCTCGCTCGTCTGCATATCAATGCTAGTAATCCTTCAGTGCTGTTTGAAAAATATTTTTATTTTTTGAGACTGTAAGTAATTACAGATCCAATCACTGTATCCCACTCTCTTTCCATCTTGCTTTCCCAGACATATTTCAACTGTGTTTGAATAGTCAGACAAGACAGCCACGAAATATGTGATAATGTAGTTAATAAACACAGCACAAAACATGAACAAAATTGTTACTATGTGAATGGTACATACCATACGTTCTATTTTCGAAGCATTAATCAGACCTCTGAATGTACATGCATGTGTCTCTCTCTATAAGCATGCAGTGGTAATGCAGCGGTCAGTGCGCTTCGCTACAAACCCAGCGACCTGAGTTCGATTTATTCTCAGACTTAAATGAGTACCGGGCGCAGTGTCAACATCACCATGAAGGAAACAAAAGCGGCCGAGCGTGGTGCTGGCCACCCACTCACCCCATCGTGTGCCGTGCCGCCTTCATAGGTGCTCGCTAACAGCACTTGCCACAAAAATATGTTAAGGCTATACGGGGGGTCTTTGTCTGTCTCTGTAGGTGAAAGCATGACCAATAAAAGATCCCTGAGCCTAATGGCCGGCATGGGTTCTGCACAAGTCTCAGGTGAGGAATGCTGTTGGTAAATCTGTTCGAGTACCAAAGGGCATTTGTGGATTTATTGACGTGCCCTCAGCTTTGGTTGGACAACTGGGGAGGGATAAGCGAGTGTTTAGTTGCTGGCCTCGGTGTTTAGTTGTGTTACCATGGGCATCTGAGAAACCAACATGGGAAACACGAGGTCACAGCTGCAACTTGGTCACGACATCAGATGTTGGCGCAGCTTCACATAGACTAAATTACACCGTTTATTTGGCTGCGAGGGGAGCGGAGGAGGATGGAGTGAGATCCCCTTGAATTCACGGCCGAGTGGCAGAGACTAAAGCTAACAGAACTGAACTAAGGCTCCGATATGGATTTGGTAAGGCTGGTACAATATGATACACACACAGCAACCTGGGATATATCACAAAAAATAAACAAAATCACCATAATAACACACCCTTAATGGCGTATACAATAAAGCACAATTCATACATAAACTAATTATTAAGCCATGCATAATAAATACCAAATTCATCTTTCATCCAAATTGTCTGTTTATATAAAATTATCACACGAAAAACACACTCCTTTGCATAAAGTCATCGAGCGATAACATTCTTATTTTGTTGCGATTATTTTCACTCGCTTTAGATTTAGCTGTAGCCCACTTTTATTTGATGGTGCAGGTGATTGGAGACCATCTAATGTTTTCTGGCAAACAGTTCTATGTGAGTGGGCTGCCTGTCCCCAATCCCCACTCAAGCCATCACTGCGTCTATTTAGCTTAGTGTCACCGTCAGGTCTCTTGCAAGCACAGTGAGTCACACTCAGGAGAGCCGTTCCTCTGGGCAGTACGCAGATTATTTTTTCACCAGACATTACCCACAATGCCAGCCAAGGACATGTTCGTCAAGACTGTCAGGATGAGCGGGTTCCAAAAAGCAAGTTTGCTGGCCCTGCAGTAATTACGTGAGTGGCACTCACTTGTGATTTAATATCCAGACCTCCCTGTCAGGTACACAATACAAACACACACAAAGACAGAGCCCCCCCCCCCCCCCCCCATAGCCTTTTAACAGACCGTTGGAGCAAGTGCTGTTAGCGAACACCTATGAAGGCTGCTGGCATGGCACACGAGAGTGGGTGGCCAAACGCCAGGCCCAACTACCTTAGGTTCCCCCAATGCTTATGCTTTATACACCACACCAGGTAGTCGTTTAAGGCTGAGTCGACCTAGGGGAGGCCCATGATCCGTTCAAATTTTAGTCACTATTAATGGTCGTGAGTGGGTAACAAACTCGGATCACTGAGTTCTGAGCGCAGCGCGTTAACCACTACACTCCCGCTTCCCAGAGCAGCGCCCACACACTCAAGCACGCAGACACACACGTGGCAGAATTTGAAGATTCTACAGTAGCAGGTGTTTTTTAATTAGGATGAAAAAGCACTGCAGCTGTTGAGGGAGGCCGTCATTTTGTACAAGCTTAGTCCGCATATATCTGGCCAAGTGCGGTAGGCAGAGCGAGCAGCTCGCAATCGGAAGGTTGTGAGTTCAAATGCAGGTTGGGGGTTGACTCAGCCCATCATCCCTCTGGCGTCAATATAATGAGTACCACTTTGTGGGGAATTTGAGAGTGGTTGTCCTCTGGATAGAATCGCGCCCCATCATAGGAATGTGAAATTCCCACCGCGAGCTCTGGGCTGTGCACAGCAAACGAGTAACCACCTCAATGATCACAAAATCACTTTGACTTTTTTTCATACAACCAAACTCACATTTGCAAATGTTTTATGGAAAAAAGCTTAAATGTTGAGTGTACTTCTTGCGCAGGGCCGAAAGCATGTTATTGCTGAGTTTAGAAACACGTGTTTAGAGGATTTGGCTGCTTTAAATGTCCAAACTTTGCTGAGCAATCAATTGTGGCCAGGTCGTTTCTAAAAAAGAGCTACTTAGGTCAGTGGGCCTTACCTGATAAAATAAAAACGTTTAGTTTTCGTTTTTAGTTTAATAGTTTAGTTTTAGTTCAGTTTGTAGCTTTAGTTTATAGTTTAATAGTTTAGTTTGTTGTTTCTGATATACAGTCCTTCGTATTTACACAAACACGTGCAGAATTTACTGGACGTAATAGCCCATACTTAGAGCAATTTTAACAAATTTTTGCGCTCAACATCTGAATCTGCAATTTGAGAATTGCTAGTCCCTCTTGTAAACGTCCTATATATGTTTGCCGTGTTATTCATTGGTTGTCATTGAGTTAGGGGCAGAATGGGAACATTTTTGACCTGACCTTACAGACATGGAAAAAGGCAATTATACCCCGAGGGCATATTTATGCTCCTGCTTCTGAGCTAAACATGCAGTTTGTGGGATCCCCACTTGCAATATCGTTATTGCTAATTTGTAATTGCGTTAACCACTTAATGGCGGTGATTGAACAAAATGATAGTCCTCTTTGTATTTGTAAGCAATGAAAACGAATTCAGAATTAGGAAGATAACGATTCCTGTTTCTGTTTTGGAACATCTTTCCAAAGGAGGACGTGACTTGTGCATTTGGTGGGAATAATTGTTTTCAATGCAAATTGTAAAAAAAATAGCTATAAGTAACCAAACAATGATCCTTTTTAATGTATCCTTTTAAATCATTATATGAGGACATTTGTATGCGACATATATGAGCTAATGTTGCATATAACATAGTTATGAGAATTATCCATTTAGACTCACTCAATTTGCGTTTTTGATGTTGGTCAGAACGTAATTATTTAAAGCCTGGAATGGTGTCACTGAAAACTCAAGATTTATATTTGAGATTTTACTTACATGGCAAGGAATTAATGTTTTAATGCTTTAATACTCCTTGCCATGAAGTCATAAATAATACACACACATGTAATATATAGTGAAAGCCCCCAATACCAGTGAATTTCCTAAATCCACTGTGGGAGAACTGCTATAAAATAGTCATATGAAAGGGATTTTATTTTATATTTCATGGAGTTAAATAACCTATCGCATCCATAAAAAAAAGTTTAAAAAATCACCTGTCCTGCCTTAGAAAAGCTTCAAAATAGGGCAATTGGCAGCACACTCGATTGTTTGGCAGGGGAACATTCCATCGTCATCCGTTGCTCAAGGCAATACTTGGCCTGAATATGTCACAGAAATATTCGCCTATCCATAATAAAATAGGGGTGCAGCGACTTGAAGAATATTTGAATAAATAACGACCATGGTACTCAATGAACTCACGTCGTAAAATTGTCAATTTAACTCAACCCAAAATATTTGGCACAAATCGCTACGCCTCTTGGAATATATAAAGTTCCCTTGAGGATTACGTTCCTGACTTTGAAGTGCCTTGCTGATGTTAGCCGGAGGAAATGCAATGAAAGAAACAATGTCTGTGGTTACCAGAAAGACGTTGCTCTGATTGCACACGAGTGAGAGCAAGACATTAACACGACGGACATTACTAACAGAACTTATGGGCCAACGCCTTTACACACTGTGCCCCGCTGTGACACTTCCCAAGACTAATATCGCCATTGTTTCCGAGCAGTTTGAATGAAACCCACTCACCAGTCTGATGCAACACAGCAGTTGCATAGCGTGGAGCATATGGCTGAACTTGCACAAGGGCAGGTTAGTTTGGGGAAGAGATTTCCAGACAAGGCAATTATTGTTTGTTAATTTTCTTGCTCTTTTCTGATTTCCCCAACCCTAGAGTTGCTTGATCAACTGGCTGATTGGTTTCAGAACGTTATGGTAAAAAATCATAAGATGTGCATGTTCACAAAGCTGAATTGAAGATCCTGCGGTTTTATGTAAAGCGGGGTCAAACATTTGGTCCTTCAGCAGTCCCCCAGGTTAGGTTTGTGTAGCAGGTGCAGCTTGCATCAAGGCGTCGATTGAATCGAGATTCTTAAGTGTACAATACACACATCAATTTGCACGTGTTGCAGTTGATGTTGTTTTTCTTCACACGTGTCATTTCACAAGATATTTGCAGGCAAGAGCGTTAAACTATTTTTTTATATATAAAAAAAGATTGAAACCTTGAATCGAATAACTGATGGCGGTGAATCTAATTATTGGCATATATTTATATTTCTTTACAGGAATATGTTGTTACGGAAAGAAAAAAATGTGGAAAGTCCAATGTTTTTGACACGTGTGTGCTAAAACAACAACAACAACAACAACAACAAAGAGGTTATGTTGAAATCAATAAGTGTTTCATATCAGGCCATTACTAGTAGGCTTGCGTGACACCTTTATTACTAGTTTCCATTAAGTCCCAGATCCTTATTTAATGTTGTTTCATTGCCAACGGATTGATCCCAAAACTGCGAAGCTTGCACAAGAGACAGGCTCTATGGAGTTGAGATAGTCCTCAGGTTGTTGATTTTATTACCTCTGCGATTCCACAATGCCTGTTGTGCTCTTTTATCGAGTTCGGTGGTGATGAGTTCTCAATGCTTGCTGTGGTAGGGGAGGGAGATGGGGAGAGCGAAGAGGAGTACGATGAAGATGACGATGCCAAGAAAGGCTCAACAGACGAGGTAATGTCCTTCATGTGCGACACAGATATTACTGCAAGTTTTTCTCTTAGATTTAAAGTGTGTATTTAAAGATAAAGCTTATTGTTGAGTATATAAGAGTTTGTTGAAATCAATACGAATAACACAGGAGAGCAAAACTGTAGCATCTTAATTCGCAAAAAAAAAGGTGTGCTCGGACTTGTATGTACGGTATTGAGTTGAACACGTTCGATACACAGTTTACTTGCGTGTCTGACGTTAAAACGTGAACCGAGCACCTGCGACTGGATATTGCATCTGACAGATTATTCACGCGGAAACTTTGCGAACGCCGCCGCGGTTCACAGAATTCGGCGTATAAATAAAACACCTTCGCAAAGACGTATGGAAAAAAATAAAATATTTCGCCGGCCGCGGTTACTTCTGAGGGTTCTTATAACTCAGCGTGACGAATGCTTTCGCTCCATTTTTAAATTGCCCCACATAGTCAGCGGACCCCATGCAGCTCCGTGCGCATTAGCACGGCCACTCCTGGGCGGCGCGTGTGGGTATTTGCAACGTTACGCTGGCGTGGTTCTGTGCTTGCAGAGCGAGGCCATCGCCACAGAGGAGATGTCCAACCTGGTGAACTACGTGCAGCCAGTCAAGTTCACCACCTTCGAAGCAGCCAGAAGTAAGCGAGACGGTGCCACGCAACAACCCTCTCTCTACAATTGGAACCTCATTTGCCAGTAAAAAATATGCTAATTGGTTTTTTACCCTTCCACCTGGCAACAAAACTGACACCTTTTTTACAAGGAGTCATGTTTTCATAGACCACAATACCTGCAGTCATAATGTTAATAAAAAACATAACTCTGATAATGTGCACTGTCCTTCAAGTTGATTGGTTCACACCCGAGACAGCTTTCCTTAGAGCCTAGTCTCACATGGGTTGGACCAGGGGCTGGAGCAGATGACGCCAAAAGGTGTCATCTGCTCCAACCCATGTGAGACTAGGCTCTAAGGAAAGCTGTCTCGGGTGTGAACCAATCAACTTCAAGGACAGTGCACATTATCAGAGTTATGTTTTTTGTTTGCATTATGACTGCAGGTATTGTGGTCTATGCAAACATGACTCCTTGTAAAAAAAGGTGTCAGTTTTGTTGCCAGATGGAAGGGTAAAAAAACAATTATCAACCCTCTCTCTACTTTGATATTTTGGCTTGGCAGTACCGTAGCGTATTACAGTCAACACGTGCACTTCCATGCCACTCACCTGCATACGTATCGCGAGTGCCTGTGAACAGCTCAATCCACCGATGGTGATGTCTGCTTGCTGGCAGTCCCATTGCGGATGCACACTCACATGCAAATTCATTAGAGGGTGGCCTGTACAGAAACTCATGCAGGGGCACGACACAGTCAATTGTAAACAAACACTGCACAAATGTGAAACGCCAAGCAGAATGAGTAACGATACGATCTGCCGTCTACCTATCAAGAGTTCCGCTCTGGCTTTGACCCCGCTTTTTATTTCAGGAAATGCTGGCCGTCACTTAATTGGCACTGCTGTTAAATATTTTACCAACATTTTTTATTTGAAATTAGAAGGGGGGGGGGAGGGGGCTGCACCTTCAGCAGCAGGGGAGGCACTAACGGGTGACCATTGCATCCTCTATTGCAAAACATCAAAGCATTCACTCCCACTCACTCGCTCGGCCACAGTGGTTAAGATGCATTTTAAATCAAAGTTAATGTTTTGGGGAGGGCGGCTTTTTTTCTCGTACACATTTCTCCTCGCTTCAAAGCGGCACTAGAAAATCTCTTTTCCAAGCCTCCCACTTCATTAACTTAATTAGAACGTCTAGTTGTGATCTTTACTTCCTGCCGGTTTACCACTCTTCATGCATCCTGCATAATCATGCACACACTCTAAATATGCAGTCATGTTTGATGCCTGTACGAGCGCTGAATGCAGATCCCGTGGGTCGCTGCGATGTGTGTTGATTTTGTCAAGCCCCTAAAGTATGCTGCATTAAGCACGTACAACCTCCCATACAGTGCTGAGAATTAGGCTATTACCATTATATTGGTATGTAATCAGCACCATGTAAACACTGCATTTATTCACCACAGTGAATGCAGATGTGATGCAGTGTAACGTAGCAAACATGGTGTGCCATCTAGTGTCGCAAAGAGTTGTTTACATACCCAAGCGCATGAGCGGACGTATTGTTGCGGCAGTGGTAATGTTTGCATGCCACATGGTGCTCCAATGTATGCCAATGATACTGCACAAACAATATCTTCAGATAAAAGCTCCCATTGCCTGCGCTTACACATTATTTGAATCACCCCACAAGTAATATAAATAAACACTATTTAATATTCCTTAAGGGATTCGCATTACACGTGGAACATTCAAAATGTTGGACCGGTCTGTTCACCAGTGGCCTGTACCCTTGTAATGGTTTATTTTGTTGTTGTATTCTGCAGAAAAAAATCGAAGCTACGAAATGTCCTCTTTTGTTGAGACAAAAGGCATGGAGCAGCTCACCAAGTGCCCCGTGGAATTCGTGGAGTATCCTTTACATTGAACATTTGACCAGAACATTCAACGGGCAGCTTGAATAGCCTTCGAGTCTATGACCTCGTTACATTTTTCCTTCTTCTTGTTGTGAACACAATCGTAATCACTGCGGTAATACTTGCATGCAGCCCATGCACCACCATTGCTGGCGTGTGAGGTGCAGATGAAAACTCATTGCTAATTTACCATCAGTTGGCATGACATTTGAACATTCAGTCCCCGTTTCCGTCTTGAAGCAGCCCAGCTATTTTTGTCCCGTTGAAGCCGAAGGCATCAACACTCTCTGCTGCCCACACATTTCTTCACTCGCACGGCGGTTCAGATACAACAAGTGTCAGCTGAGTCGCATCTACCCGAAGGGCACGCGTGTCGACTCTTCAAACTACATGCCGCAGGTGTTCTGGAATGCTGGCTGTCAGCTGGTTGCCCTCAACTACCAAACAATGGGTAACCCCTGCCCCTCACCTACATCAGCACACGATAGCATCCCACGGCATAGACAGCGGGTGGCCTTCAAAAGTGTGTTCAAGGCAAAAGTTTCCCCCCACGCTATAACATGAGCACAGGGGCCATGCTCACCTCAGTTTGGTAAGCGTGATAAAAGTGGCAGAAATTCCACATTGTTATGACAGGGCCTTGTCCGTTCACGAGATAATCACTACTGGTGTGTATTATATCATGTTTAATATGTGGACATTATTAATTAGTTCCTTCGGTACACAATTCATTTCCAGATGCTTAATGAAAGAGTCATTTGTCTTCAGAAACACGATGCTGCAGATGAATACTAGCCTTTGTTTTGTTTCTGCGGAACAGACCTGGCCATGCAATTAAACATCGGCATGTTCGAGTACAACCGCAGGAGCGGCTACATCCTCAAGCCAGAGTTCATGCGGCGTTCAGATAAGCACTTCGACCCATTCTCTGATAACACGGTGGATGGGATCATTGCTAACACCGTCTCTGTGAAGGTGAGGCCAGGAGGGGGCATCTACCGCTTAGCACGGATACAGCACTTACGATTCTCTTACCCAACACAGCGAGCACACACCTTTGGCCCGGCTTGGCGCAGCGCTGTCCTGACATGTCACTTGTCGGGAGAAATGCTGGGCCCTCATTATTGGCTGCCCCCTTCTCCCCCCTTATTCATTCCCATTCCCCATCCCCCCATCCCCCATTCACCATTCCCTATTCCCCATTCCTCATTCTCGAATGGTGCAACTTTGCCCAGGCTGTGATTGTACGTTTTGGGGGCACGGCGGTGCCGAGATGTTAACTACCTCTCCTGGTATACAGGAGGTCGTGGGTTCGATCCCGGCCCTGATGCCTGTAAATTTAGAATTTGCGTGTTCACCCTGTGGTCTTGTGGACATTTCTTCGGGTGCTCCGGTTTTCCCCTCCACATTTAGAAACACGCTTTTAGAGTATTTTCCGCATGGTAAGCCACTTCGTTGAGCTATCATTTGTGGCCATGTCACTCTTGACAAAAATTGTTATCTAGCTCAGTGGGCCTTACCTGATAAAAATAAAAAATAATTTAGTTTAACTAAACACGTAACTTTGCTCAATTTTACTTGGGACAAATATTGCCATGAAGCAGGTGGCTGAAATATTAAACGACAAAATTAAATCGCTGTATACCATACATTTAGTATTCACCATAGGAGTCGGGTCAAATTCCATGATATTCATTGCTTGACTCCAATATCCCAATTGTATCCTATGGACTGCGCATTACATGTGCATAGCATGACACATTGGTCAATTAGGAAATTACTACATGTTTGTGATTAATTTACAAGCCTTCCCCGAGCTTGGAATACCAGTACAGTTATACCCTCCTTCCTCTCAACACTCAAGTCAGGCCTGTGTATCGGAATCAGAATGATAACCTTTATTTCGACTTCAAGAACATCCGATGAACTACGAAGCTCGTTTTCACAGATGTCCAGTGGAGGCGGGTCATAAAGTTGGTTGTTGCCGATTAAACAAATATTAAATTTCGATTTAAAGCTTTCGTGACTGCAGGGATTCATCTTCTTGGTTCTTTCGGTAAAGTCACGTAGAAGGGAAGTAATAAAATAATAAAAATAAAACATAATAAAATAATTCTCACGACGTTTCGGCCACAACGCAAGCAGCCGTCCTCAGGTGAAGACTAGGTCTGTCGGGGAGACGCTTGCGTTGTGGCCGAAACGTCGTGAGAATTATTTTATTATGTTTTATTTTTATTATTTTATTACTTCCTTTCTACGTGACTTTACCGAAAGAAGCAAGAAGATAAACAAATATTGTTTAATGGTGAAACTTACCTGTGACGTGGCCGTGTGCAGGTGATTTCAGGCCAGTTCCTCTCTGACAAGAAGGTCGGCTGCTTCGTGGAAGTGGACATGTTTGGGCTGCCTGTCGATACGAAGAGGAAAATTTACAAGACCAAGACGGCACCTGGAAACTCCATCAACCCCGTTTGGGACGAGGAGCCGTTTGTATTTAAGAAGGTACCATCACACACGCGTTATGAAATGTGCATTCAATCCACGCAGAATGCAAATCACGCCTGTGGTATACATTGGGTGTTGGAAAACTATACGGGTGATTTTAAATGTGATTTTCAACTGATAAGTAAAATAATAAAACTTTTTCCAGCATGTCTTTAATGGCCTCATGGTGTAATCGAGTCCTCTGAGGCAACAAATTCGTCATTTAGTCCTTAAACATCCAAGCGTAAACATTTGTGCATATTTTGAAAATCTAAACGCACATTGCATGTTTGTTTGTTTTTGGTTTCTTACGTAATCTTCGGTGTTTTTTGATACGTTTCGCATTCAAGTTTAAAGAAATGTTGCTCATCGTGTTTACCCCCCCCCCCCCCAATACTCGGCACCGTCATGCCACGTTCCTCTGCCGTATTAACCCCTGGGCCCCACCCCTCTGCCGTATTGACCCCTGGGCTCCGCCCCTCTGCCGTATTGACCCCTGGGCCCCACCCCTCTGCCGTATTGACCCCTGGGCCCCACCCCTCTGCCGTATTGACCCCTGGGCCCCACCCCTCTGCCGTATTGACCCCTGGGCCCCACCCTTCTGCCGTATTGACCCCTGGGCCCCGCCCCTCTGCCGTATTGACCCCTGGGCCCCGCCCCTCTGCCGTATTGACCCCTGGGCCCCGCCCCTCTGCCGTATTGACCCCTGGGCCCCGCCCCTCTGCCGTATTGACCCCTGGGCCCCGCCCCTCTGCCGTATTGACCCCTGGGCCCCGCCCCTCTGCCGTATTGACCCCTGGGCCCCGCCCCTCTGCCGTATTGACCCCTGGGCCCCGCCCCTCTGCCATATTGACCTCGTATTGACCCCTGGGCCCCGCCCCTCTGCCGTATTGACCCCTGGGCCCCGCCCCTCTGCCGTATTGACCCCTGGGCCCCGCCCCTCTGCCGTATTGACCCCTGGGCCCCGTCCCTCTGCCGTATTGACCCCTGGGCCCCGTCCCTCTGCCGTATTGACCCCTGGGCCCCGCCCCTCTGCCGTATTGACCCCTGGGCCCCGCCCCTCTGCCGTATTGACCCCTGGGCCCCGCCCCTCTGCCGTATTGACCCCTGGGCCCCAGCCCCTCTGCCGTATTGACCCCTGGGCCCCGCCCCTCTGCCGTATTGACCCCTGGGCCCCGCCCCTCTGCCGTATTGACCCCTGGGCCCCGCCCCTCTGCCGTATTGACCCCTGGGCCCCGCCCCTCTGCCGTATTGACCCCTGGGCCCCGCCCCTCTGCCGTATTGACCCCTGGGCCCCGCCCCTCTGCCGTATTGACCCCTGGGCCCCGCCCCTCTGCCGTATTGACCCCTGGGCCCCGCCCCTCTGCCGTATTGACCCCTGGGCCCCGCCCCTCTGCCGTATTGACCCCTGGGCCCCGCCCCTCTGCCGTATTGACCCCTGGGCCCCGCCCCTCTGCCGTATTGACCCCTGGGCCCCGCCCCTCTGCCGTATTGACCCCTGGGCCCCGCCCCTCTGCCGTATTGACCCCTGGGCCCCGCCCCTCTGCCGTATTGACCCCTGGGCCCCGCCCCTCTGCCGTATTGACCCCTGGGCCCCGCCCCTCTGCCGTATTGACCCCTGGGCCCCGCCCCTCTGCCGTATTGACCCCTGGGCCCCGCCCCTCTGCCGTATTGACCCCTGGGCCCCGCCCCTCTGCCGTATTGACCCCTGGGCCCCGCCCCTCTGCCGTATTGACCCCTGGGCCCCGCCCCTCTGCCGTATTGACCCCTGGGCCCGCCCCTCTGCCGTATTGACCCCTGGGCCCCGCCCCTCTGCCGTATTGACCCTGGGCCCCGCCCCTCTGCCGTATTGACCCCTGGGCCCCGCCCCTCTGCCGTATTGACCCCTGGGCCCCGCCCCTCTGCCGTATTGACCCCTGGGCCCCGCCCCTCTGCCGTATTGACCCCTGGGCCCCGCCCCTCTGCCGTATTGACCCCTGGCCCCGCCCCTCTGCGACTGGCGCTGTAGGTCGTGCTGCCCACCCTCGCCTGCCTCCGAGTCGCCGTATTTGAGGACGGCGGCAAGTTCTTGGGCCACCGCATCATGCCCGTGTCGGCCATCCGCCCGGGTGCGCTTGTGTTCAGAACAAAGTTATTTTGGTGGTACTGCATTCGCAGTGGTGCATAAGCTCAGATTAAAAACTAACAAGTATAACCCGTAAACACTAAGTTTTTCACTAGAAATCCTTTATATGCGTGGCGGCTAGAGTCCTCTCGTCCTCTGGCTTGAGATTGCTGCCACCTATGGGTCAGATGATTGCATGGCAGCATTAAGCAATTGGTAATTAAATATAATATTTTTGTCCTAATAAGTGTAAAATTTTGGAATTTTTTTTTCACGAACATTCATTGTCACGCACAACGAGTATGTGTGGAAAATGTCAGCTTGATTGGATCACGGGAAGTGGGTTAAAAAACGACCGAAAGATTTGCACGGTCCTAAGCAAGCAAGTGAACTTAATATAAAGGATTTAAAAATTAACAGATTCGTCGGTAACACTTCCCTAAAAAGGAAAAATATATAAATATGCAATAGATACAATGAGCTGTTGCAGGCATTGTCCCTATTAATATCACTTATAAAGAATATTAATATTGCCAATAGTACGTGTTGTTTTCCATTTTAGGGCAGGTTACTGATGAATCTGTTGAGCTTTTGTGTATTTTGATTAATATAATTGTATGTTTTAATGCCTAGGATTAATTACAATATTTGGAAATGCATCCTGGCTCATCATATTAAGCAGAAGCCAAGCAAGGTTTAACTTGGATATTGCTTTGATGGGTGACCACAATGCATAACAGGTGTCATGGGCTAAGTTGTGGGCAGCAGAGAGAAAATGCATTAAAACCGTTGATGCGCTTCGGTGTTCCCTCATCTCTGCTCTTTGCCTTAACTAACCCACAACGAACGAGTATTGTGAAGCGTGATTAAATAACCCCCATGACGTATACAGGGAGGGCCCTCATTCAGCAACGGATCAATAAATGGCTGTACATGTGCATGTGTAAAGCTCGTATTTGTTCGATACATAACATTAAATCTTCTCTGTGTAACAACATGTTAATTTTAAGTGGTGGGAAAGCTATAAATGTGCCTAAGTGGCCTGACTGCTATAAATATCCTATTTTATATAACAGCATAGGTTTAAACTCTTTAGTAATTATGCGAGGTATTGAAATTGTGCAAAAATTACATCTCCAAGAGAATCTTGTGGTAATCATTAATATTATGCAATCGGTTATGAAATAAGAACATGCAATCATAAATGTGTGCGAGGGAAGGATTCATTTCATTAATATTTTACTTGGGGGGGGGGGTGGTCCTTCATCCAGCAGAGGCTGGAGAATGACTGTGGATTGACACTGGAAATGAAAATGAGATCTATGGTTTTGTGTTTAGGTTATCGGCACATCTGTTTGCGTAACGAAAGCAACCAGGCCCTGGCCTTACCAGCCATCTTGGTCTACATACAAGTCAAGGACTATGTCCCCGATGCATTTGCAGGTTCGTGTCCTTTACTTCAAACATATGAGCGTTCATAGCACGCACGACTTAATTTCGGGTGGGGTCAGCGACCAGGAAGATATTTCCATGCCCAGCACATGACATCCACCGTAGATCTCACTATCGCTGTGGCAACGAATCATGTGCCAGCCCCTTCTGGTATACCAAGCGATGAGGGAAATATTCGGTCGTAAATGTAGCCCCTGATTACATAGGTACTACACCCAGTACTCCTTTGCATTGAAGAGTTATTGTTGAGAGTGTGCTGTCACCTGGTGCCAATGAACACTGTTGGATAATAAGGGTGGAGCCGCGTGGCCTAGTGTTTACCAAATTGCGCTATGAACCTGAATGGCCCCAATTTGACTCTTGACCACAGCCAATGAGCTCACATCAGTAGCGAGTGATATTGAATCCAGTCCTGGGCTCCGGCACTCACCACCCCTTCTCCAACCTGCACTGACCGGCGTGGTGAAATATGATCAAACAACCCCTCTTAGACTGCAATACCATGGGAAGGCCTTCCTCAAGCAGTGACGATGATCTTTGGACGAAAAACTAAATATGTTAGAAAATAAACGTAATTTGTTTCAACACGTACTATGCAAGTTCAAACAGACAAAAACATGTGTTTAAAGGAGACTCTTCCAAGACATGCCGATTGTATGTTGCATACGGATTACGGCTGTGTGTTGTGTGCTGTGTGTTGTTTGACACGTACGGGTTTTCCGGCCCGCATTATTATCCCGACACACCGGGGTTTTTCCCCTCATTTCCAGGTTTGATCGAAGAGGTGCCGCTTCAGTATAAAAACCGCCGAGACACATTTGCGTGCCGCCGTTCCCTCCCCAGATTTGACGGAGGCGCTCGCCAACCCCATTCGCTACGTGAGCCTCATGGAGCAGAGGGCCCAGCAGCTGGCAGCGCTCATCGGCGAATTCGACGAAGGGACTACGGAAGTGCGTATGGCTCATGGGCCTCGCTGCCCTGTTGGAGATGTGGCGTATTGTTGCGAATGTATACAATCTTGCTTTGCCATACAGTGCGAAATATTTTCATGCAGTTTCTCCCCACCCACCCACCCACCCACCCCGCTCACACAATGTGTTGCAGGTTGCTCATTTTTTTGGCCCACTTACAATATTGAAGATGTGCATACATGTGATGTGCCTGACAACTCTGAGTAAATGAAAGTGCACGTATGGCAGCACAATCCTGTCACCTGTGTATGGTTCTGGTCAAGTGCAATTTCTTTTAAAGCATTGTTTTGTTTCCAGCTTGTAATCCCCGCTTCGTACGTACAGTGTTGCGCGTATTCAACCCAAGTTGATTAGCAGATTGGCGAGCGTGGCCCATTGCCAAGGATGCCTCCGGATTGATTCGCACACTGCTTGCTTGTTGACAGGAAGTCGTTCCCAAGATCATTAAGAAGGAGGAGAACGGCGTGAGTGCTTTGGTGCTGAGGCAGATTTCCGAGGATGGGCCAATATCCATGCCCCCTGCACCGCACAAAGTGGCCGCGCCACCCGGAGCTCCGCAGGGATCCGGCCCAACCGACACTGTCAAATCACCAGGTACAGCGCCGCATGCGCTCCATACAGACCATCAGCAATTCATCACACCTCCCCAGCAATTAATTTAACTTTTAAGATTCAAGGTCAGCATGTGGTTAACGAAGCGATACCTTGTCTGATTTATTAGAGTCTCGTTTGTACTGTTTCTCATTTTACAACTTTGTTCTCTCCATTCGTGTAAATTGTAATTTCACCACTGATTTGCATAAAAAGCATGGTGAAAACTTACTGGAGGGGCTCTACAGCTTTCTCTAGAGCAGGCCCTTGCACCAGCAGTGGCGTGAAACAAGTCATTGCAGAGCTGCCCCTTTGTCCACGATACATACGCATTCCACTCAATTCATGCATTGTAAGTGCAACACATGTTATACTCTTAAGTCGATCACATTGTTGCATGGCTAGTTTCATATTTGTATTTTAACAACCATTAATATTTCAGCAAGGATAACCCCATCGATGTTTGCCCCTATTTAACCTTCATAACCGGAGTGTATTTTAATCTTATCAAAACTGGTAACAGTATAACTCACAATTTTATATATTAACTATTGAAATGAGGGCACCTTCGTAGCGAGATGGAAACTACCTCACCTGATATACAGGAGGTCGTGGGTTCAATCCTGGCCCTGACACCTGTTATATATTTAGAGTTTGCATGACTCTCTCCCCATGGTCACGTGGTTTTTCCTCCACATTTAGAAACATACGTTTAGAGTATTTGGTTGCTATAAATTTGCACATGATAAGCCACTTTGTCGAGCTATTATTCATAACCAAATCACTGCTGAAAAAGAGCTGTATAACTGTGGGCATTATCTGGTAAAATAAAAAGTTTCGTTTAGAAATATGTAATCATTTTAGCAAGTGAGGGATAGTTCTTATGCAGCTCCAAGTCATGTGCACGGTTCCAGTGCATCGCTCGCACTCTTATTATCGTTCCTATGCCACTTTCGACATTTTATTAAATTTTTGCTAAAGCAAAAATTTTTAAGAGACTTCATGAAGATGAAATTATTCGTGTCGCAGGCTAGGCTTAGTTTGTTCAGCCTCAGTGTCATTACATAAAGTAACAGTTCTAGGTGCACTTTAAAACATAACTTTCCCCACATTTGTATTGCAGCAAAGTCACCACCACAGAAAGATGACGTCTTGGCCAGCATCTTGAGAGGTAACCTCTTGCCAACTCAGCTTTTTGTTTTGACATTTGCCAAAAAAAACGCCCCTTCAGCAATATTTAACTATATATCCCTACATTTGTTTAATTAAAACGTGGACCTTTAACATTTGAGTAACTGAAGATTATTTACATTCCATGAGAACTGCTGGGATCATCATCTTCGATAGAGATTCAGTCCACAAATTTCCGTGGTACATATTGTACACATGAGAGGCACGCCTCGAATTACACTGAAAGACGCATGAATTGGAGAGCATATGCGGGTGAATAACATCAGTCAAACTGTTAAGAGTGGGCTTTGGTAGGAAATCTCGCTATAGAAGGGGTGATGGCCAATGGTCAAATAAACTAACAAAAGTGGCAATTTATGTTTCTAAGATCTGTCCCCCTAATTTGCCCTCAACGATTAAGGCATGCTAGCTCGCTGTTAGTGTGTGGTCGCCGTCGTGTGGAAACGGGTTGATCTCCAGCAGTGTCTCTCTGCAGGTGTGGAGGCTCTCACGGTGGAGCAGATAAAGCAGCACAAGGCCATTCTGAAGCTGCAGTTCAAGCAGCACAAGGAGGCCAAAGACCTGAGCAAACGGCACCAGAAGCGCATCGCCGAGCTGGCCAAGGAGCAGATGGCGAGGCTGTCTGACCTTCAGGCGGAGCTCATTAAGCAGAGGGTCAGCTTGGAGAAGGCCCTCAAGAAGTCAATAAAGAAGAAGTGAGTTTCAACCGGCATGCGGCCAACTCAATTTGCAAGGCAGGACACCGGGTGCGGGTCCACAATTTCCATCGATTAGATTTTCAGGAAAAGTGTCACCCCGACGTTAACTTTTCGTTTTTGTCCCTCTGTCAATTTTTTGCCGTCGGCTGCAGGAGCAGGTCACTGAGCATGTCTCCAAGCATGAGCCCCTCCGCCAGCCTGGAGGGCGAGTTGTCGGCGCTGGAGGGGCAGGGCGGCCGCCAGATCACGGAGATGAAGCAGCAGCAGCAGGAGGAGATGCTGCACATGCGGAAGGACCACTGCGAGCTGGAGAAGGCGCGCAGGCAGCAGCACATCAAGCAGGTGCGCGTCCGACGTCCGATATCGCGCGGAAAAAGGTTCAGAGCGGCCACCAGGCTCCCGACGAGAGGTCGGAGGAATACCTCAGCTTTTTCGAATCAAAATGCGCCCCTCTGAAAGTCGAGAAGAACGGCACTGCCAAGGCCTCGATCATTTCAGACGTTCACCAGGCTACTCTGAGTCGTCCGCTGGCTCACCCGACTAATCTCAACACGAACGTACAGATGTTGCCGACAGACTCCCTGCCACTGAGAGAAAACATAAGTATATTCTTGTTTTCCAGGAGGAAATCGTGGCTGTGTAATGGCCAATACTGGCGTTGTATGATGTCATTCACGGTGTTTTTGCAGTAGCGTCCTGATAGTCGCTGCCTGTAATTGGATGGAATCCATCGCATGGAGCTTTGTTTCCAGCGAACGCTCATTCATTGTCTACTAATTACAAAATATTTTACATCCGCACTAACTTTCATTCAAATAAATGTCACTTACTGGGATAAAAAAGTTAATTGGAAATATGGTCATTAAAACTCCTCTTATCACTATACCTATTATCCACTCTTCCTATTGATCATTACTCTAAATCTATCCACGTAAATTAATGTTCTGGTGAAGAGTTATTTTTGTTATTCGAGTCTTTGCACAGATAAGAGGAGCGACCTGGAAGTTGTTAATAATTAACGCAATTATCCAAGCTGTTTGCGCAAATGAGTCACTGGCATTTTGCCCCCCCCTCCTCCCCGAAACGCTGAATTAATTCCATGATATGAGTCTTTGCTGGAATGAAAGAAGTGACCAAAAAGTGGCGGAAAATTAATCCAATTATTCAGCATGTGCATAGATAAGTCACAAGGAAGTGGTTTCCCCTGGAGAAATTAATTGCAGAGACGAACTCAGATATAATCTTCATCTTCTGCATTTACATGCCAGCGCCTTTCATCACCTCTCAGCCCAAACATCCTAAGGGCATCCACAGTGTGGTAGTGGTCCCTGTGTGATACAGGGCGACTCCGCACCCAGCCTGCCAGTGGAGACTGATGATCGTAATCCCAATTGAGTAATTTACGGATAATACTTTGGAATTTGGCAATGTTTGACGTAAAACAAATTTCCCTGCAGTCACGAAAGCTTTAAATCGAAAAGTAAAACAGTTACTTAAGGGGATATTTACCATCCACGTTGACGCATATATATATGGTGAATACAACTGTAGTAATAACCAGGGCAGCCTGTTAGAATTGAACCGCGAACCTCTGCGAAATGGCAGGTGTCAGTACTCACATAATAGGCTCTGCCCCAGAAACTGCTCCACACAAATAGTTTCATGATCATTTGGCAGTGGTGCACAAGCACAATTTACAAACAAAACTCAGCACACTGTCAACAACACTGCCTTAAAAAAATATATATACACATTATAACGAGAAACGTTTTAGGCAATTGCCCTTCATCATTGCACATGTGCTATGAGGAAGGGCCACTCCCCACATGTCAATCAGATATGTATTTAGAACTTGATTCGCACCATACGTCGCCAACCGTGATAATAGGTGCGGAGGTATGAACATTTCCCCTGTCATTGCAACTACGACATTTGCCAACAGGCCTATGAGAGTCAAAAAAAATAATCCACTCACAGCACGCACAACCATTTCCTCACCAGCCTCGGTGTGCTGTGAATGTTTTCTGAACTCTCTGGACCTCGCTGATGGTTACGGTATTTATCCGCCCTCTTCTGGTGAAAAGGAAGCGGTGCAAGTAAAATCGCATGAGTACCGTGTAATATTAACACGCTGGTACAGGTGTAATGATCAAAATCTAAAGAAAACATACAGCACATTTTAGTTGCACAATTAAGATATATGTAGAAATGCCCTGGGTTAGATTACCGTTAAAATTAAGATTTTCCTGTCTGACTTGGTCAACCCAATGTGACACCTACATTTACTAAGCCAGACACATCAAAATATGTTGTGCAGGTCTTTAAATATCACTAGTCATTTCTAGATTTGAAACTTTCGTGACTGCAAGGAATCATACTCTTAGGTTTTTTTCGGTAAAGTCACGTAGGTAAAAAATGAAATTAATAAAAGTAATAATAAAAATAAAATGAAATAATAATAGTGTATTTTTATTATTACTTTTATTAATTTTATTTTTTTACCTACGTGACTTTACCGAAAAAACCTAAGAGTATCACTAGTCATTGCACTATAAGTGTGATGCATGGAGCACCTACAACCAAATCAACCTAAAATTTACCCAATCTTGTCAGATCCCACAAGCAAATCAGACTGCAGCTTGGTTAATGCTGCCGATGAATACCAGATGTTGTTGGCTTGGGCTGCACGGTGGCCAGTTGATAGCATTACAGGAATTGATTTGCGAGTCTGTTCGGAGCTTTGAATGTTATCCCTTCGAACAGAAGGTGTGGGCTTTCTCTGGGTACGCCAGTTTCCTCCAACGTGCCAAATGCCCAATGCAGGAACCCTCATGATAAACTATCTTAAAACTAAAGTATTCCTGCGTAATAAAATTATTTCTGATTGTACAACGGTAACGACAAAATCAAATTATGCTTCATTTGCAATGGAAGAGGACCGACCAGTGCTTGGCTGCTTTTATTGCATTGCTCGCATTATTCACCACGCACCGCTGCACCAGTTTCCAGTCTGGTCTTGCAGGGGATGGAATACAAGCCGTGCATGCTTATCTACACAAGTGTTTACACCGAGCCCTGCGCTGTCCTATCTCGCTGATTTGTGTGCGGTGCCAGTCGCTGCCTGAGCCAGTGTCGTAAACTCCGGTCAGCAGCAGCAGCACACGATGACCTGATTGTTCGCACACAGACGTCGAGATAGCGGGCCCCAGTAGCTTTGCAGCGTCCAGCCGTCCACTCACGCACCCACCTATTCAATCACTCACTCACTCACTCACCCACTCACTCACCCACCCACTCACTCACTCACCCACTCCCCCACCTACTTGCCTCACCAATTCACCCGCTTGTTCACTCAACCGGATCACACTCAACCACACTCATCGACTCGCCCACCTACGCAACCCGCTTACTCACTGATCATTATGATTGTTATAATGATCAGTGTTTTTATACCGCATCGTTCGTGCAAATTGTATCTCAAAATGCTACACAATTTGCGACACAGAGGTACATATATATTATGAAACCCCTCTTGACGACGGTAATTCGTTCCACGAAACCGGGCGTTAAGTGATTTGGTCGTTAAGCGAGTATAGGAAATACATGTTAGAGGCTTAATTCGTTCTGATAGCATCGAAAAGTTACCCTTTTTCGCCCAAAAAACGTACTTTATAATATTAAAACTATTGATATTAATACATACAGATACTAACAACATTATAAATACATAATATTAAAAGCATGGTTAACCCATGCATTAATTGATATTTACTGTGGCTATAACAGCCCGTCATTAACATGGGAATGGTCGGTAAGCGAACACATTGAGCTCTATGGAGGTCCGTCGTTAAGCGATTAGTCATTAACAGGGGTGGTCGTTAAGAGGGGTTCTACTGTATGAAGGTGTTTTCAGCCACAATTAATGTTTATAGGTGTGGGAGGAAACTGGACCACCCGGAAAAACCCACGCATGGCAGCGGCCAACACTCGCATAATGCTGACAAAAAAAAAATCGAGATTAGTCCACACCTGCTGCACCGCATTCTACTGGCAAGCCAGGATATGGCATCTCTACACCCACGGGAAAGGGAGTTTCACAAAATGTATATGATGCCGCAGCCCTCGCCTTCTATAGCGCTGGGTTACAGCTGTGTGCTGCCACCCCACGGATTCACCGACACATCCATTCACCCGCCCACTGACATGCTTACCCACCCACCCACTGATATGCTTACCCACCCACCCACCCACTGACATGCTTACCCACCCACCCACCCACTGACATGCTTACCCATCCACCCACCAACTGACATGCTTACCCACCCACCCACTGACATGCTTACCCACCCACCCACCCACTGACATGCTTACCCACCCACCCACTGACATGCTTACCCATCCACCCACCCACTGACATGCTTACCCAGCCACCCACTGACATGCTTACCCACCCACCCACCCACTGACATGCTTACCCACCCACCCACTGACATGCTTACCCACCCACCCACTGACATGCTTACCCACCCACCCACTCACCACCCACCCACTCACCCACCCACTCACCCACTCACACTGACCCCAAACTTTTTCAGTGTCCGGCCCATTTACGTGGAACTTATTTCCGATCACCGTTTGGGATTTGTCGTAGTCAGCCAGTTTTGCAGTAGAGTCAAGACGGAAATTATTTGTAAATCGTTTAAAACATAGCCAATGTTGTGGTAGACTTTGTGTACTCGGAATGGTGTTAATGGAAATTGCACTCCGAGTGTGTTGTGTGGCGTGTGGTGCAAGTGCCCCCCAGATGGTTCAGACAATGCACTAAGTTGGCAGCGGTAGTGTCGTGGTTAGCGCGTTGCGTTACCAACCCAGAGGCCCGGGTTCTATTCCCGATCATGGCCAATACCAGTGACGATTATCTGAACTGGTCCTGGGCCTCCCCTAGGTCGACTCAGCCTCAATTGAGTACCTGGTGCGGTGTGTAAACATCGCCACTGGGGGAGACAAAAGCGACCGGGAGTGGCACTGCCCACATGCACCCCTCATGTGCCGTGCCGAACTTCATCGATGCTCGCTAACGGCACTTTCCCCAAAAGTCTGTTAAGGCTATACCGGGGATCTTTGTCTTTGGGGCCTTTGTTCCTAGATGGTGCAGAAAATGCACGAAGTTGCTGTGGAGTGCCAGGCTACTCAGCTCAAGAAGCTGAGAGACATCTGTGAGAGGTGAGGCTGCACCTCCTGATTCATCACAAACGATGAATGTGAACTAAACGTGATATGGGTACGTGTTTTAGAAAAAAACACATTTTTGTTCAAGTTGGTTAAATTACAAAATACAGCCAACACAGAAGGAGATAACCATTCTCTTTCTGCCTTTGTTATTAGAAACTGATACCAGACTACACCTGCCTTGTCAAAAATGGTGTAGCTTTTTTTAAGTACCCAAAACTATTTATTGAGAAGATTACATAACAGTATCTGTTTTTAACGCCCTTCACAACCTCCTCATAAAAAAAAACTTTAGTTTGTTTATTCGTAAAAAATATAGAATTAAAAATTTTAGGGGGCCCAACATGAACAAATTTTGATTTAAGGAATTAAAAAATCTGTCGTATTTGGTTTCAGGATCCTTGAAAACCTCTGAATGCAAATGTTGTAGGCCTAGACTCGAATACTAAACAAAAATATCCACCTGGGGGGGGTGGGGGGGTCCCGCAAATTGTAAACTTTTCATTTATTAGGTATAGCCCTGTGAGCCATTCGCGGCTCTTGAATCGGGTGCAACCGCAACAAACAAAAAACAAAAACATGAACAAAAAACATCTTCAAGTGAATATGTGACTGAGTGCAAACAGAAAATATGAAAAAACTCAACTTCATCAATAACACCACGAGCCTTAAGAGGAAACATAATAGGCGACATTTTGGGCATTGAGCCTTCTTCACAGCACGTAAATATGAGGCTGAATAGGAGATGGCCTCATCGCGTGCTCAAGATTGCCCTCTATTGAAATCGTCTGGTATATTTGCCACTGCCGTTAAGAAAGCACTGGGGGTAAAAAAATCAAGTACAGAAATGCAATAATATCAGAGAGGCTTTTTAACTTATTTCAACTTGAGTACTTAAAAATTTTTAACATTCAAAGTAAAGAAAATAAATAAATAAAATTCCCATTCTTCGGGGTGAGCGGCGACAAAATGGGATCTTTTTTGCCAGCATAAAAGTATGAAAACATAAGAATCGGTTTTACCCTTTCTGGCAAGAAAACAAGAGGTGTTAGGACGTTCAAACACCATTCCTTGCAAAAGGTTTTAACGTCTTAACACCTGTTTTATTGCCAGAAAGGGTAAAACCTATTCTTATTTTTTCATATTCCCATTCTTGTTCATAATTCCTCGAAACTCGGGGCAATGAAGGTATCAGAAAAGGTGGCAATATGCAATCTAAAGAAGTAGCCTCCCCGCTTCACCGTTTGTTGTGTGCGAGCGTCAGTCCACGTGTGACAGCAGCGACGTGCCACGCCTCAAGAAACGACGCGAGACCGCTCGACACATTCATCTTTGGCTTTCCAAAGCGACAAGACGGCGCCGTGCACAAACAACAGCTGCTCTGGTTGTTTTTTTCAGAGAAACTAAAGAGCTGAAGAAGAAAATGGACGGCAGGCGGCAGGAGAAGATCACAGAGGTGATGTCCAAAGACACGAAGGACAAGCAAGAGGTGGAAGGGTACGAGTGGGACCCGAGGGATTGCTGCAGATTTAAAATAATTCCACTCGTGTGTACTTTTTGTTTCTCAAACGTTAATTTATTAAGAGATCGGTGATTCCACGGTAACTGAATTGTACAAGCTATGCAGGTGTATTGGACACGGTGATTAAACGGCATCTCTAATGCTTCACATCGACCTGCCATGTAAGGACATTCAGACTTCAAAACAGCCCAAATTATATTTCAAAGAAATATTGCGATTATCAGGTTCTGTGTGGCGTTGTGTCATTCCGTTACCGTTGGCCACAGCCAACACCAGATTCAAATACGTAAGCGTTTGCAGAGCAACGCAGTGGCATCTGCTTGTAATAATTGTTCTCAATTCTTTCCTTTGATAGGCTCAAGACTGAAATCAACAGGACCCATATTCAAGAAGTGGTGCAGACAATAAAAATGGTATGTACACACACAAACGATGAGCAACAGCTGATGTTTGTTTTTCCTCAAACACTGCTCTTATGAATTCCCCGTGCTTGTACTGCTTTTGTTATATTTTGCCAAGGATTTGTTTGATTTGCATGATGCATGAGAGTAGAATGACAATAAAACGGAGCTACTTTATCTTAAATCACCACAATGAGACAAATAACATCATGGGACCTCCTTTGCCAGTACCAAAATATGATAATAGGTTTTTTCCTCTTTTTTTCTGGCAACAAAACAGGTGTTAAGTTGTTAAAACACCAAACTGAAACCTTTTACAAGGAATCATGTCTGCATTAACCACAATACTTGTGGTCAGAATGCAAACAAAAAACATACTCTGATAATAAATGCATTGTCTTTGAAACTGATTGGTCCGCACCAGAGATAGCTTTCTTTTAAGTCTCGTCTCAAACGGTGTTAGACCAGAGGACGCCAAAAGGCATATTATCAGAGTATGTTTTTTGTTTGCGTTCCGACCACAAGTATTGTGGTTAATGCAGACATGATTCCTTGTAAAAGGTTTCAGTTTGGTGTTTTAACAACTTAACACCTGTGTTTTGTTGCCAGAAAAAAGGGGAAAAACCTATTATCATGAGACAAATAAATAATATAAAGTTACTTTCTAAAGTCAGTATAGATTGCATCACATATAGCAATTCGGAGGATGTGGATGTGTAAAAAGATACTGGCAAAAGAGGTCCCATGATGTAGCTGCCCACCCCGAGCTCTCATTACTCTGGTAGTGCGTTGTCTTTGAACTGTACGCCTTTTGGTGTCATCTGGTCGAACACCATATGAGACTAGGCTCTAAAGAAAGCTGTCTCTGGTGTGGGCCAATCAGTTTCAAAGACAATGATTCAATTATCAGAGTATGTTTTTTGTTTGCATTTGACTGCAAGTATTGTGGTTAATGTAAGCATGATTCCTTGCAAAAGGTGTCAGTTTTGTTGCCAGAAAAAAGGGGAAAAACCCTATTAGTATATTTTGTTACTGGCAAAAGAGGTCCCATGATGTAAGGTCAGATATATTAACATCTATCGAAAAATCACAGCTACATCATGCACAAATAGGTTAACGGACCAAATTAAGTGAAAAAAATGGCAATACTTGCATGTGCCGTACTTTAGAAGTAAGTGATTGTATTTGGAAAGGTGTGGATTTGTGAGCATCAACACAAAAATGACAGTTACGCCATGCACAAATACTGCACTGGTTGATGGCAGATTAATTCATCAGGGCAGGTATGCGACGGTGTGATATGCGACATTGTATTGTAAATGCCAGTCTATCACGTCTCTTAAGCAATGGACGTCCTCATGATCAGTGTGGCCATCTCTCTGTGCTCGTGTTGCCCAGCTGACGGAATCTCAAACCAAACGTCAAGAGAAGCTGGAAGACTCCCACAAGGAAGTTTTACAGCAGATCCTCGAAGAGGAAACCCAGGTAAGATCAAGGACTTCCAACATGTATTTCGCTCTGAAGCCCATGAGCATTCCATTTCTATTTTATTTTCAAATTCATGTACACACCGATTTTAGAATTTGTTGTACTGCTGTCTTTTTTTTATAGCTACATTCATTTTCTGGATGTAGAATTGTGGACGATTGCATCACAGCATTTCAATATCATCATCATCAATCAGACATGAGCAATCCACTGCTGGATGAAGGCCTTTTCAAACCGCCACCATCTCTTGCAATCATGCGATGTCGATGCATTTCGTTTCCATAAAAAACACATCTACGTCTCCTGCACACAATTTAATTCCACGTCACACCAGAGGCACTGTTGATATGCAATGTAAACTCAAACGACATTATTGCATTCAAATGCATTCAAGGTCAATGTCAATGCATTCATGCAAATGTATGAGAGTGTACAGCTAACAACAGGATCTTTACAAATACAACTTCATCCCACCACCTAGATGGGTGGTGGGGGGGGGGGGTTTGCTAGGGTGAAATAGCTTCTCTTCAAAGCACTCTCTCGTGGGAGCCTTTCCTCAACGCCTTCTCTCCCCCACTCTCCCCGGCACAGTACTTGCAGGCTGTAGCGAACGAGTTTTCTGAGAAGGTTTCCCAGCTCACTGAGCAGCCGTCTCTGCGGCCCAACTAAGGGCTGCCGAGCTGTAGTAAGTACAACGTGGCTTGTAATGACACGGCATGGGTATGCCGTGTCATCAACAACCACCACCACCGTGCAACGTTCGTGGCTTCACACACATTCCACCGCGATGAACCCATGCGGCCAACTTGATGGCCGCGAGCTGATTTGTGTGCCTGACTTCTTTGCCTGCCCAATCTTTTGAATTTTTGTGGCTCTTATTGTTTTAAAAATGGCATGAGTGAATCGGGGGCAGAGATGTTAATGAAAGTCAATTTCACCTCCGAGTGGAAATGCTTGTGCATCACTGCTGTGAATTCAAAAGCATGTTCACACATTGCACCCTACTTCAAATCAAAAGTTATCTGACAGTCGCGTGATATAAATATATTGTTTCTCCATAGTCTGTGTCATGAACGCATTGGTATTCACAACAGGTCTGTGCAAGAGCTGAGCTTCAAGAATGTAAAAAAAAATATCCTTTTGGGTGTCCATGCATTATTTACATTTTAGCCCAATGCTCAATATTATGAAATCAACCTGAAGTGCATTTACGTAACATTAACGCTTCCACAGCTTTTGATTTAAAACCAATCCTAATCAATGATCACGCAAACAAATTTCTGCTGTGTTTTCACCAAATAAAATAAATTGTGATTATTTATGATCATAGCAACCGGAGAGAGAAGATCGATTTTAAAATGTGATTCATCTCGAACATATTTGTTTTGCGATTTGAGATGTTCTTTTCGTATGAAGCAGTGGTTCTTAACCTTGCACCCTTTTGTATAATGTTAATACATACATAAGTTTGATGAAACAAAGTAGTATTTAGATGCTCTTGCCTAATTTGTGTTTCAATGATTTACCTTCAAAAAAAATCTGGCCATGTCTCGCACTCCCAGGGGGTGCGTGCACCCCAGGTTAAGAACCACTGGTATAAAGCATAGCAGAGAGAACCAATATAATAAAGTACCATGTGGGTCAAGGTGACATCACTCTGCTGGGTTTTAAATTGTGCTGCTACAGTTGTTTAGGAATAATATGGCAAGTGTGTTCATAGGAACTACTTCCTGCACTCGGCCAGGCTTGAAAAATAACTACAGCTTAGAACATTGTGTGAAATTGAAAATCGAGGTCACGTTCAATTCGAGTGCCTTTGATTCATCTCAAGGTATATAACGTTCAGTTGAACAAGGTTGTTTAATTTTGTTTTACTATTAAGAACCACTCAAAGAACATATCGCTTATTATATGGCTTCGAAGAGCAAGTCAAAGATGTTATCACACAGACTCAGCTGTCAACTTGGAGCTCAAAATTTGAAAACCCTAGATTTAAAAAAAATTCTATCCACTGCTGGATTTACCACCGATCCAGTGTCGTCACGGGTGTTTGTCGCGAACGTCTCAAAGAACACTCACTTTTATCGCCACAGTACTCGCAGCAGCTGGAGGTGGATCACTCGCGCAAGCTCCAGGCACTGCCCCAGGAGGTGGAGCAGGACATGAGAACGATGATTCTGGATCGTTTCACGGTGGATCCCGTGGAGCTGTCCCCCTCTCCTGGCTCGACGGACGAGAAGGTGGTGGTGCCGCTGGGAGACGGCGGTGGCGGCGTCGAGAGGGAGGCGTTGACGATGGTCACGGACACGGACGACGTCACGAGGCTATAGAGAAGTCCCTCGCAACGAACAAGAACGCTGGGCGTTTGCGATCCTCTGTGTAGTAATTGGCAGCGTGTGAGATGGGACCTCTTGTTAGAGTGGACTTCTTCACGGGCAAATCCGTATTCTGTAAACGCTGCTTGGAACTTTCGACATTAATTGCAAATTGCTAATTCTCCTTTATTCGTGAATAAGAAGGCTGAAGAAGGCTGAAGAAGGCTGAAGAGGGAATCGAGAAAGTGGGATTCATCCAGGAGATGCGAATCGAAACCTTTGGCACTAGTGCGGATAAAGACCTGAAGATGCTGCGGTTTTCGCCGAGCAACTGGCAGTCCAAACTTCACCGTCATCTCCGGTAACAGCCTTCGCGTTTCAATAAGCACCTCCATAACGCAAAATATTTTCTGTTGCTCCGTGCCACCGCAAGCTACGAGCACCTTCAAGCTTTAGCAGGAGCTGGTGAATTTGTGGTATAGCTTTTGTTAAATGAGAGTAACGATTAGCACAGTTTCAAGTTCAACATACATACAACGCACGTTCATGTTTCGAAGTAATGCGTCGTCATTTTAATAGAACATTTCAAGTACAATACATGATATGAAATAATCGTTTTATAGATGTCACTTCAGTTTTTAGTTTTATTGGGAAATTGGCAAAACGTATTTTGACATGGGCTAAATTGCATACGGAATTGTTCTTTGAAGAGCGCCACAATGAGAGACGTTTAATGCTGTAGACGTGAAAGTGACATTTGGTGAAATGTAGAAAATGCTGTCAAACATTAGGAGCGCTAAAAATTAATCGCCAGCGGAAGCATTGGGATCAATGTGATTATGATGCAGAATTGAGCAGCCGTCACAACACACACGAGGCCATGTGAAAGCCTGTACATGTCACAAGGCAAAAGAAAAAAATCTGCATCATGTTGTACAAGATTATTCACACAAGTGGATGTTTAGCAATTCACACTCCGGCCAACGCTCACCACTCAGACTCTTACACCTCACGGATGGGTCATTCACACGCAACCGAGTACAACAAAAATAATATAAGGCATTGGGAACATAATCAATGCAATAATAGTGTTCGCATAACACCATTATCACACCTGAAACTAATAACAGACCAAACAGAAAACATACGACACAGAAGCATCTCTGTAAAAACTGTTTGAACTTCAACAACTCTGTTAGATCACTGTACACATGCATGACACATTGAGTAAAGCGGTACATGAGTAACTCGCTAGAACTCATAGGCACTTTCCTTTGAAAATACCGGGGCCAAATGTCTACGCGGAAACTTAAAGTTTGCTCACGACATGTAAGAGTGGTTAAGCAGTTAAAATGTTCTTACACGAATGCTAATTTTAGCTGTATCGGTTGATAATTGGGGGTGGGAGGGGCTAGGATTTGGGTCACATTTCTTAAGCCACGAGGCAGCTTCTGAAATTACATTGTTGCAAATCACTTATCTGGTTCGAGCGCCACAATGATGTACAGTACAAAGTGAAACTGGCCTCTGTGATAACTGTGGCAACATATAGTATGGTCATATATTAATGGTGTACATATTTTTTTCATATTATCCACCAACAACTTTACCAGTTCTTGTTGATTAAATACAGCCTCTAATTGACATTCAGGAGAGAAAGCAGTACTTTACTTTCATACTTGAGGAATTTGCTTTTCTCACTCAGCATTAGATTAAAGAGCACTTAATTCGCGATAGTAACGGGTTGAATAGCTAGCATTTTGTGACAAACCCACAAAACGTAAGTTCCAGCACCAAAAGCGTCCGCACGCTCACCACGATGTTGCAAAGTGCATGTTACGGTCAGGTTCATGAAAACCGGTATTCTTTAGTCCTATGCAGTAGCCTATATTTTTTGCATTCTCAAATTATGCAGAAGATATGTAAATGTATACATGTTCAACACAATATATACCTGTGTGTGCTATACACAATGTTCTTATGTTCTTTCTCAAGAAACTGAGTTCCAATGTTATGCTGAAACGTGTACCGGGGGCAGAGCGTTACATAGACACGCCCAGCCCAAGGTGATACACAGAGCGGAACGTAGACAGGTCCAGTCCTATCGTCACTCTACCGCCGAGTGAGGGCCACCTCACGCTGTTGTGGGTCACGTGACCCTCACCATGCTTCACCACGCCGGTCAGTGCAGTGTGAAGGTGGGCAGCATAGATGTGAGAGCGTAGTACAACACAACGATGGATTTTGCTGCACTGCCCACAAAATAGCATCTGCCAGCACTCTATGGCAGCCTGTTTTATGCACGGCAGTTGCCCATCCAAGCACTATTCAGGATCAACTCTTGCTTATCACTCGGCACATGCCGGGTGATTTTGTCGGATATATTCACAGAAATTGTTAGTACTTGAGGAAGTTTAACACATTGAGCACTGCTCAATATATATCTTATTTTTCCCCCCAGAAAAATCTTACGAAGCTGCAAAAGTGCGAAAGCTCATTTTATTTTTTTGGCTGTGGTCTTAAGTGTGATTAAAAACCTGCATGCCTGGAGAAATCCCACTAATACTCTGCACGGATTGGTCCAAAAACCTTGCTGTCTTACTCTCCCCCCCCCCCCTCGCCCGCCCCCCTGAGTGGCACGTCATGTACCCTCGTGTGGGTGTTTCACACAGCCAAGCGCTGCAGCCAGATCACATACATGCGACGTCGTGTGTTGTTAAATGACATTCAAAATCCGACTTGCATGCCACGAACAGATTCGAATAAGTCATGCCTGTTTTGGTAGTGTACATTATCCGTTTGAATATATTTTATACTTTAACTATTGCATTGAGAGTTTGTAGTTTACAATCGGGGTGACCTTTTTGGAATGTCTTGTACGAAGCACCGTTGCATGACACAGCTTGTGAATTTTGGAAATGTCGGTAATTATTTGCATAGATAATTTCCCATACTTGTCATGTTAATTGCAAGGCAGAACAGGTATTATTGGTGGTGGTGGTGGTGGTATGTTGAAAGTCTCCAGTATTGTATTGTCGAGCATTGGGCCTTTCATGTAAACTGGTGGCTAAACACTTATATTGTAGCTCCAGAGAAGGCTGAAATGTTCGACGCTAACGACAAGCATATTTTAGTTTTTAGGTCAATGAGAATGACAGATTAAAGTGCGGCCTGTCATTGCACAACATTCCATATCTGGACATACATTAGTCCACGTTAACCAAGTCTGATGAAAATCTCGAATTTCTTGCTTAAAACTTGTCATCTTTGTATACGAGGTCTTTGTACATATACCACAAATGGTGAGGTGCCATGTAATCACACAAAATTCATTAACGAGTATTGAACACTAGCTTTGTTATTGCCTCGTGTATTTTTACTTGCAAATGTTGATTCAAATATTCAGAAGCCTCTTTTTCCATTGACACAGCCAAACCATGCTGGGGCCATGCCGAACAAACTCGGCATAGCTCCGGAGGCGCTATAGGTTATTTTTCACGACAGAAAGCCCCGAGCTGTACCTAGTGGCGTCTGCATCACACGTGCGTATACTGTCTGAAATAACGTAATGACTACAATTATAACCCCCCCTCTCCACCCCTGGCCCTGCTTGGCTGCGAGCCAGACTCAGAAGTCTTATAAGGTCAGAGTTTTATAGTTTGGTTCTGGCTCAACTCGGCAAATAAGCAGTGGAAAAAACACTCGGACCGCGAGGCTCTCCCCAGGGCTGGCTCGGCTCAGATGTGCCAGTGGGAGGGCAAGCCAGAGATTGTCATGCAGTGCTGGCGCTGTTCATCTCTACCCTGGATGCTGCAGTCCTTGGTCACCGGTGGTCACGGTTAGTGAGGTGGATAGTGATTTCGATAACTTTCTATTTTGAAAAGACCTAGCTTCCCCAATCTACTAAGCACCCCACCAGGTTTTACAATGAGGCACACATGATGGCTGTGGAGTATTGCAAGTTCTTTATTTTTGCAGGATAGAACTACTGCTTGCTCCGCCGTCTTCGTTACTTGTCATTAAATAAGCAGAATGGGGTATTAGGAGTCACCGATGTAATTCAAGCCTGCAAACAGAGATGTGTTTCAATATACCAAACACATTATTTATCTCAATCAATCTTTATTTTACGTGCCCATATCGCTCTCCATAAAGTAGACATCAGTGCACATTACAGCAGAACGGGGAAGGTACAGGGGCATATGAAATTATACAATTACAAGATACAATAATCACTGGGCCTACAACGAGGCCCCACCAAATCCATATATGCTGAGATAAAATATGATCATTTGGTCTGCCATTGCTTGAACTAAGGGAAGATTGGATCATTATCACCAAGCGTCATACATTCTTACAACGCTACACGTCATAGGGAATAGAACACTTTTGGTAGGAATCATTAAACAAACAATTACTTGATAATTGTTTTTTTACCCTTCTATCTGGCAACAAAACTGACACCTTTTTTACAAGGAGTCATGTTTGCATTGACCACAATACCTGCAGTCATAATGCAAACAAAAAACATAACTCTGATAATGTGCACTGTCCTTGAAGTTGATTGGTCCACACCCGAGACAGCTTTCCTTAGAGCCTAGTCTCACATGGGTTGGACCAGATGACGCCAAAAGGCGCACAACTCAAAGACAATGCACCATCAGAGTATGAGAGCTCGGGGTAAGCATTTACACCATTGGAACCTCATTTGCCAGTAAAAAAGATGATTGTTTTTTTACCCTTCTATCTGGCAACAAAACTGTTCGATATCTGTTTGATATCTGGACGTGGCTGACGGTTAGTACTGCTTCATGAAGTATACACACTGATCACATGTTGACGGCATAGCAGAGGTGGGAAAAATACATTAAAATGACATATTACTTGAGTATCGTTGCATAAGTACAATTACCAATTACCTTGCGTTGTGTATTTTACATACCCATTACGTATGTAATGAAATTACATCTTTAAAGTACGTACTTTATAAAACTGTACCACCCATCTCTGCAACACCAGCTGCAACGAGAAGACAGCATGACCAGTGACAACGAGGCATGAATGGCTTTGGCCACGACTCAAATGTTTGCTTGGTTGTTGGGTCTCCATAACCCTATGCTATTTAGAGGCAATGTTCAACATTTATTCGCTACACTAAATAGACATAGGCTTAACAAAGCAGTTCTTGCTCTAATCTCTGTCGTCTATATCTAAGAACTTTAAATTTGTTACATTTGTACTCACCTTTGTTCTGCACGTTTTTTTATTTAATTTGTAGTGAGCATTAATGCTATGCAAAATCGCGTAGCATTAAAATGTGTTGCAGTTAGTTACGGTGCTAAGATAAGTTGTGGGTTTTTTTTATTATTTCTGTCGCTCGTAAAAATGTTTAGTGATACTGTTGTATACTACTGTGCTGCATTGCAAATGTTGATAAACTTAATTTAATTCATGATATTATGGGGGCATGCATGTGGTATTAAGATAAATGGGTTTTCACTGCTCACTACTCATCACCTTCAGTAGATTGAATGTATGGAAAATGGCATATCATAGTCACACTACTGCACTGTAAATAGGCAATGCACAAAATATACAAGACCCAGTTAACCACAATGTGTGTGTGCTCCCCTTCAGATAAGGAGTCTTTTAAATGCACAATATAATTGAAACAGACATTTAGCCGAAATGAAATTAAGACCTCGTGTAGGCCCATCAATACGTATACCACAATTTTAAATGTATTGGTGTGTAGTATTATTATTAAAAGACCACCTCTCGTGGACATGCATATCATTTGGTATTTGAATCAGTCAGTTTATGAATAAAAACAACATTCAACAATCCATACCTTTTATGCATAGGGTGCAATGCATTGATATGATCGACAGCTCAAAATGACAATTCAATATTCTTAGGTTTTTTCGGTAAAGTCACGTCGGTAAAACATCAAAATTAATGAAAATAAAATAAAATAAAACAAAAATCACGACGTTTCGGAGGCAACACAAGTCTCCGTCATCAGGTGGGACCGTCACAGCCTTGGAGACTTGTGTTGCCTCCGAAACGTCGTGATTTTTGTTTTATTTTATTTATTTTCATTAATTTTGATGTTTTACCTACGTGACTTTACCGAAAAAACCTAAGAATATGAATCCTTGCAGTCACGAAAGCTTCAAATCTAGAATTGACAATTCTATGTTTATCACTTGGACTTTCATCACCAATGTGACGATTCCGAATATATTTTTTGCGTCACATTGTGCGAGTAAAATCCTCACCTTCTTGGTTCTTTCGGTAAAGTCACGTAGAAGGGAAGTAATAACATAATAAAAATAAAACATAAAATAATTCTCACGACGTTTCGGCCGCAACGCAAGCAGCCGTCCTCAGGTGAAGAACAGGTCTGTCGGAGAGACAGCGTCTGAATGAAACAGCCTGGTGGTGTTTCATTCAGACGCTGTCTTTCCGACAGACCTGGTGGTGTTTCATTCAGACTTTGTCTTCTCGACAAACCTGTTTCTTCACCTGAGGACGACTGCTTGCGTTGTGGCCAAAACGTCGTGAGAATTATTTTATTATGTTTTATTTTTATAATTGTATTACTTCCCTTCTACGTGACTTTACCGAAAGAACCAAGAAGATAAAATCCTCACGTGTGCGGTGCACTCTCCAGCACATCGGTGTACTGAAACAACAATAATAGTTTGGCATGTTTGCTCGTGTGACAACTTTATTTTGCCGTGGTGGGTTGAGGCGCGTGCACGACATTTTTTTTTGCATGCGGCGATCGGTCCAAAAAAGAAGTTATTCTCTCTTTTAAAAACCTCGATTGCTTCATTGGTTGTCCCCAGACAATCTTGTCAGACTCTCGTGATAGCCAAGCATGCCCACATTACAGTACAAGGCCGTATTCTGTTGACGTGTAAATCGTTGTAATCATTGTTATACAATGGCATAAGTGCTGTTCACAAGACTCTTTTTAGAAGCTGCGTGCAAGGTGGATTCTTGAGCTCGATTCGGAATAAAATGGGATTATGTAACAAGTATAACCCGTAAAAACAAAGTTTTTCACTATAAATCCTTTATATGCGTGGCGGCTAGAGTCCTCTCGTCCTCTGGCTTGAGATGGCTGCCACCTATGGGTCAGATGATTGTCTGCCAGTATTAAGCAATTGGTAATTAAATATTTAATTTGTTTTCCCTAAACAGTGTAAAATTTTGGAAATTATTTTTCACGAACATTAATTGTCTCGCACAACGATTGGATCACGGGAAGTGGGTTAAAAAACGACCGAAAGATTTGCACGGTCGTAAGCAAGCAAGCACGCAAGCACGCAAGCAAGCAAGCGAACTTAATATAAAGGATTTAAAAAGCGACACAATTCCGAATGATATGACGTGGACTTCAGGCAGATGTATCATGCAGTCCACTCAGAACTCCCCTTACGTCAGTAATTCCATGAGCTTTGGATCAACTGCTACTGAAGTGTTTTCTAGATTAGCTGGAGTGAATCATTTTTAAAATGTCACATTTGTCGCTGTTGACGGTCATCTTTCATCTGGATGCCTTTAGGGAAATCGATCATTTTTATGAGGCAATACAATAACTCACGTGTATGTGTACACAGCATATATTAAAAGTAGTGCTAATCACTGTAATCGCTCATGGATAATGTCTACCTTGCACTTTGTAAATGTCTCGTGTTTTTTGTTCGTTTTTTTTTCTATCGGCATGATTAGGTTCAGTTAAGATTATGGTATTATATGCAAATGTTACAATTACACCAGTTTGTATTGCAGCATCGACTGCTCTACGCTATCAGAAAATTTAACAAAACCTATATTATACACGTCTTACCGTGTTACTCTTTGAAGTTAAATACATATTACAGATACGTGTTTTAAAATGACAACAATTTTGATAAGTCTAGTTTTAAAGAGATGCGTTATTGTTGTTGGAATTATGACCAAACATTAACTGTTTATATCGATGACGGTTATTTTGAGGTTTGTACTGTATAGTGGCTTAATTAAAAGAATATATTTGCAATATGATTTTCTGCACTTAATTAAAATGAATTATTTAACATTTCCGTAATATTACCATATACATTCATGACTATATGCACTGTGGACTTAGATTTTTTTTATTCATCTGGCATAGATGGGTATAAACACTGGTAAACAATGATTTTTTTTCAGCAGTGCTTCACAGCCACTATCAAAGCCTGTCCGTCGTAACTTTCATGAAAAAAATGTGTATAATTTGTAAATGTTTTATTAGATTTTTATTATAATATTTAAAAATATCAATATATAATATAACCCCCAGGATATGTGACTACTGGTTAAGTTTGACGTGCAGACAATTCTGGCTTTGTCGCAAAAAAAAAAAATCACTTCATATTTTAGATTTTTCAAACATACAAACATATACAACTATACAGAAAACTGTGCTCCCTTAAAATGGATTAAACAGTGATAATACCGAGCACCCTGCACAAATAGATTTTATTTTCAGCCAGGATATATTTCTGCACCAGTCACACCACATCCAGTATACAGTACCTCTCTTCCTGTGGCTTACTAGGAATGTCTTCTCTCCACACGACCTGGAAAAATATCAGAGATAAATGAAGCCCCTGTATACAACAACACAATCATTGCAACCATCCGCCACTTCTTAAAGGACTGCCAGCGTAATACGAAATAGCAAATAGTGCTCCTGAACCGTTTCTCATTCAAAATATGCACTTTATAAGCAATGCTCACATGAAGTCTTAAGAACATTGGCCCACACGCTTTAACACTGTTCATTAACCTTCACAGCCCCTTCAGTGAGCCTGTTGCTGTAACCCTCGACTTGTATTATGAAGTGCAAGTTGTAGGGGGGAAATGGGACATTAAGTTGGTTGCTGTGTTGCTCAATTATTTCATCCTTTATGGTGAAACAAAATAATTGTCCACTGGACTTTCAGTCCAGAGGTCACTCGTTTATTAACCCTTTGCCGTTCCGATAACGTACATGTACATCATCAAAATGAAACCGGAAGAAAAACTTAAACAAAATAACTTTGTCGGTACCGAGGCTGCCACAAGGCCTTGCGGGGGAGGGCATGTGGCACAGTTTGGTGCCAGCTATCAGAGCGCGGACGTGTCGCTACAGTTTTCTGCGGTGAGTGCAATGTCTTTAAAAACAACGGCGCTATGCCTCCAACTAAAATTAACACCGAGCCGCTTGCACGTTACGAGATTCGGGGGTGAACGGGATCCACCCTGCAACTTGCAGCCTTCTGGGAACAGGAAACGGTGAATCTTGCAGCACTGGGGTGCCACTCAATATATGTAAGGAAAAGTGAGGTTTCAGTTTTATTGGATCACACCCTTTCAATGTGTTACTTTGGTATAATATTGACTATATGCATTGACTGTAATGCAGCTTTCAACTCTGTTGAGCCAACGAGTAAATATGAGTAACTGTCTTTAAGCTTGCGGTGCATCGGTTGAACAGGGCTTGTGACCTTGAAACTAGCACGTGTGAATTTCTAGTGACAGCCTACCCTGAAACCTTATGAAACACAATTGATTTGATAATGCAACAATGGAATTCTGTTGTTATTATTATAATCGGTGGCGAGGTCAGATTGGTTGGATATTTCACAATGGATACAGTATTCTTTTGCAGATGCAGAACACGCTGCTACACTGTCGAGCATGCCTTTTGAAGTTTCTTTGAGTGAATTTTATTCGTTTTGCAAACTCCGTAACATTAAATACTACTGTACGTGCATTTTTAATGCCTAAATTCCAAAACACATTTTTATTCTAACGTTACATTTAGGGATTCTGAGATGAAGTTCATGTGCCAGAGCAGAAATCGGTACCACCTAAGGTAGCAAAACGTTGTTTGATAACCCATTAACTTCACGTGGTTTTCACTTAACTCAGTGTTATTGGCTACCTCAGCTGGCATCGACAAGCAAAATATCTGGTCTGGGCTCTTGGACTAGTAACGGAAAGCGGTTAAAAGGCAGGCGATAATTTCTAGACGTCGTTGTGAAATTAAAATGTACAAAGTGTATTGCTGTTTTAAAAGGTGAAATTTTATAGTGGTAAAGTATCCGTATTAACATTTTAAGAATTTTACCGTACAAAGAGCTTCCAATATAATTGCATAGTATAAGTAACTGTACAGTTTTTTTTTGCATTCTAAAATAGTTAAACAAACCTCTGTGTGATGTATGCACCCCCAATGAGGTTACACTCGGTGTAAGCACTCCACAGGACCTGGGGAGTCGCCGTTTCTGATTTTGAATGTGCCATAAAGTGCACACGTGTATACTGTGGTGGGTGACCTGTGTTTTGCATACCTTTACGTGACTGTTTCAAATTTACTACCACAATCTTATTGCGCACGGGTCCAAACATGGCTTTTTGCATAATGGTGTGGTGTTTGCAACTATCCTTTGCTCTTCGCGCTATCCAGCTATCTGCCTTTGGTGAGTGTTGGTGTTAACGCAATTGATTGGGCTTGTGCAGTGAATATTGGCAGTGGCTTAGTGTCTCTTCTGTATATAAAGGTTTGCGTGAGCAATGTCATCGTAACACACGTGTGTATTTTTTTTTCTATGCAACACTAGCATGACGCCCTATGCCCCCCCCCTTCCCAACTGTATTGTACACGTTTTTTTTAATTGACGAAATAAAAGGGAAAAAAACCCGTAAGTTATGGTATCAGCACTACTTTTTTACATCTGTGTGTTGTATATGGAATTGATCATTATTACGCTGGTATGGGGTTACAGCGTGTATAAAAAAACAGTGTTTTGCTTGTGTCAAGGATGTCCCATGTTTGTGAGCTTTTTACAGTCCGGATAAACCTTCGTGTATTCCGCAAAATACCCTTGGCAACGTTCAGTTCCATTGCGATGTACAAA